CCGTTTAAGACCAAAAAGTTGAAAAAGACAAAATTTAAGCGGGTGCAACAGGAGTATCATCGCGGGCGACGGGGAAGGGCATGGGCTAGACGAGGTCGACAGAGCCGCCGGTTTGGCCGAAACTCGCGCGGAACTCACTGGAAAACGCGAACTTAACCGCGCAAACGCAACATTTCGTCATATGGTCAAAACTCGGGGCCTCTGCATATCCCCACACCACCCGCGGTTGGGTTACGGTGGCAAGGCGCCCGTAAATGCGGAAAACACGGAAAACGCCGGAACGACGCTGCCCGAACGTCAAGCTAACGGAAGTAGAGTGCTGAATTCTCGAAAATTTGCCGACACCTGGAAAATTCGCCGGATCCTCAAATCTGGGGGCCTACTTTTAACCCAGCAGTGCTCGCGGACGTGTTATGGTTGCCGCCGCAGCGAACCGATCGCTTTGAAACATTGGGTCTGGGCCGAGAATAGCAATATCGCAACAGCATTTACCCCTGTATCTCGGCTTGAAATTGGTTTACGGCGCTGTAGGCTCTGAGAGACGTGCGAAACAAAGGACCCGCATGGTGTGGTGGTGAACGCGTTACTCCCCGGAAAGGACAATAGCGCGTTCGTTCCCCACCATAGACACCTGCGGTCCAGAGTTTTGCAAATATCTCAGCAACGTTGTGGTTGTATTTCGCTTACTTAGTAACCTGCCATGAAAATTATAGAAGGCAGAAAACAAAACGTTAAACATTGTGATTTCAACTACAGCCATAGCTTAACTGGGTTCTATGCCGATTTGCGCTCCCCAGATCAACCCCGCTGACGGGTGATTGCTGTGGCAAAAAGATCGATAGAAATAGCTGAGAGACGTGCGAAACAAAGGACCCGCATGGTGTGGTGGTGAAGACAGACGATGTTTCGAAATTTTGAATTACATCTCACGCTGATAACTGAATAAGCTTACTTAAACACGCAGATGGTTCGTCAACACATCATGTTTGCCATTTGACTGCATAATCGCCATGTTTTCTGTTACTCTTCCGTGTCATTTTTAACATAGGCATCTACTTTGTTACCAGTCCGAATATCTAAACACGGTGGTGCACGCGGTACACTGGACGTGACCTCTTTCACTCTAGAGTGGGCAAATTGACACAAGATCTATCTGGTACGATAAAAATACTGTTTAGATATATTAGTATAACGCAAGTCTCGTTAATCATAAAAAAATCTGTTTCTTCTCTTCCACAGTATCACGGAAGACCATATGTACTACTCTGAAGACATTTACATAATTTTAAAATGTAATAGGGAAGATCTTGCCAACCGTTACTGCCTCGTTGTGGCTGAGTGATGTTCCTGCGTGTCGGACTGTGGCGTGAAGCGGGTGATTCATTCCCTAGCATGGTCTCGCAACCTAAGAAAAAATCCGACATTTCTATCTCGAAGTCTAAGTAAGTAAGCCCATACCGATACCAAGAATCACCATCGTGCCGGTATCAAACTAGTCGCATGGTGGCAAGTCTCCACCTAGTCCACAAAGGGGGCGATTGCTTGGGATGGTGACCACCTGAGGAAAACTTCGGCTAGGATGATCTCGGGGTTCCACGCAGCTGCAGTGCTTAAACCAGCAAGTCTTCGGAGAATGGAAATTATGCTAGGGCGCGCACAAATAGTGAAGGCGGGCTATCCAAGTATCCAAGTAAGTAATGAAGACGATCAGGTGATTTTAAACTGTTCGTTTATGAAAGCAAAATAAGAGCGGATATCTAGTGCTTAATTTTTCGGAAGAATCACTATGATTTGGTGTCAATTCATGCGCGTCAAAATGCCTTGTTGCAAACAGCTTTCCTCTTTTTGCGTACTCTCTATTCCCTTCGTCGTTCAGTTTATCGCGCTCCTCATTAGCATTTCCAGTTTTCTTTCTTTCACACATTCCACCACGTTTTTCCTGTCATGCCTTTGAAACATTTCGAACCCTTGTGTCTGACGAAGAAAAAAAACTCGTGCGCACTACAACTAATTTCCTTCCTAAAGACAGTGCCTACAACTGAACCCACAACTATCTATATATTGAACGGAATTTTGAGAAACTAAACAGTTCCGTGTACAAAATATGTAGACTAGAACGATTACTAGTTATAATTAATATATGTTATATCTAAAGAGCCCACGGCTCACTCTCAATAGAGGGATCTCATGCCGCATAGCAGCGAAGCAACGTGACCCGCTCTCAGGTGACGGATAAAGGGTTAATGACGGACCAAAAGCCACGTGATGCTTCGCTGAGAAATAAGTGGAACCTGCCTCTACTGCTCCGATTTGACATATCCGTTCTGTTTGCGAGGGCATATTCGTGCATGTGTGCGTAAGTGTGTACCCGTTTATGCGGACTGTGTTCTACTAATCAGTTCGGCCAAAAGACTACAAGCAAGTGATAGGGAAGTAAATGGAAGGCGGAGTCGCTTAAAACAAATATGCTTTCCCGTCTATTCTGAGAGAGACCACCAAGCTGCCTGTGAGTATACCATGCAGTAACTCCCACGACCGACTTTCTATTAACCTCGGCATTGATCAAGTAATTCTTCGTATTTTTGTTGAGCAAACGCGAGGTGTTATTATTCTTTATTCACAAATGAGCTGACGTTTCGGCGGATTTCGCCTTCCTCAGAGCCTGGAAAGGTCAAGTTGACAGCAATCTACTTGGCCAGACGCCTCCATAACCAAACAAAGAAACTCTAAACCAAGATTTCAATCACATTGAACACAGCTTTGCACACTCACCGCTTTCTATGAGGTCTCCACTAAGTATGTCACGTAGAGACCAACCGCACAGAAATCACATGGAAGTATAATGTACCCCACGCATCAGAATAGCAGTCTTATATACTGCCCTACATCACGCGTGATAATAAGGCATTCTTCCCTGCGGTTCATTTTCGGATTTCTGGAATTAATCCAGAGTGCCTCGAGAGTTTTTCGCGCCTGTGTTCTTGATTCGCGTGCAAGGGTCGTGACACATACTTCAAAGTCCTCCCCGTTATGTCTCTGGGTCCTATGCGTGCCTAGCGGAGTATTTGGTCTATGTTTGCCGGCTAGGTGTTCTTTTATGNCCCCTCTGTGTCCGCATAAAAGAACACCTAGCCGGCAAACATAGACCAAATACTCCGCTAGGCACGCATAGGACCCAGAGACATAACGGGGAGGACTTTGAAGTATGTGTCACGACCCTTGCACGCGAATCAAGAACACAGGCGCGAAAAACTCTCGAGGCACTCTGGATTAATTCCAGAAATCCGAAAATGAACCGCAGGGAAGAATGCCTTATTATCACGCGTGATGTAGGGCAGTATATAAGACTGCTATTCTGATGCGTGGGGTACATTATACTTCCATGTGATTTCTGTGCGGTTGGTCTCTACGTGACATACTTAGTGGAGACCTCATAGAAAGCGGTGAGTGTGCAAAGCTGTGTTCAATGTGATTGAAATCTTGGTTTAGAGTTTCTTTGTTTGGTTATGGAGGCGTCTGGCCAAGTAGATTGCTGTCAACTTGACCTTTCCAGGCTCTGAGGAAGGCGAAATCCGCCGAAACGTCAGCTCATTTGTGAATAAAGAATAATAACACCTCGCGTTTGCTCAACAAAAATACGAAGTATACCATGCGTCCACATTCATAGATACGTGGGTATCAAACGCTAAACACAGTAAAATAAATGGGCTTCTTCCTCCTGGCCCGGAAAGAGCCACAGTACAAGTGTTGGCCAGGACGAGTACGGAAAAGCTGTTAAAATTTCTTGTAACATCGTTATCGACTAATCGCAAAAATCGCCACGGTCACAAAAATCGCGTCCTCCTGGAAGGATTTGGCTCGCTAGTCAACGATCCTCTGTCCGATCTACCAAGGTTAGCAACATATAGTGAAGATAGGGGAAACGTTCTAGCTAGCTCTCTCGGATTAACCAAAGGTTACAGCAAAACGCATTCATGAGCTCGGGAACATCAATGGACGACGAATTGCAAAGACAACGAAACGAACGCAAGAAGCTTTTGAACCCGAGTTACATCTCAAGACGGGTTATTTCAGGATCTACGCACGTAAATGTCAGTGAAAAATCGAACAGCACTAGGTCCGGGCAGGATTAGATCTGAACACCTGAAGAACCTTCCGCTAGTCCCCGTAACACACTGGCTGGACTCCACACGTTACCCGTCTGAATGTAAGGTTTCTATTCAGTGAAAGACTAGCAAGACCGTGCTATTGAAAGGTGACCTCCACGATATCGTCAACTATTGCCCAATCCGTTTCTTGTCTGTCGCTTACAAACTTTTTGCTCGAGTCATCCTGAACAGGATTGACAGAACAATGTACAACGGGCAACCATATGGGCAAGCAAGGTTTCGAAGAGGATTCAGTACGATGGACCACATGCACACGATTGCAAGAAAGGCAATACAATCTCGTCAAAATTATTCACCGCCACCCTCGAGAACGTCATACCAACATTATGAGTGATGACACAAATTGTACGTTTTTCGTAAAATAACGTGCTCTATCCTAACGTCTGTAATGAGACCGCCTGCGTGCAATACGCAGCCTGTATGTCCACAACTCCACATGCAGCGAAGTTTCCTTGATTTTAGGCCGTAATATCTATTTTCCATTTCTCGGAATTGATCGTTTAATAGGTAGTGGTTCCAGTGCATGAACTCTACATCCGAAGCAAGCAACATTTCTGTTGGTCTGGCTGCTCGATGCAGATGTTCCCTCAGCAGCACTGCACTTTGGTTATATTGGGGCACTCTTCACGACTAGTTATTTCATTTTCATTCTTCGAAGATCTCCGTTTCTCTAGAACATCATATTTCTGTTACTGTTCCTGTGTCTCTGTTATATACTCTTCTTCAAAAAATTGAGGTCGTCCGTTCGTCCACGTACTCACCATTTCGGTATTGCTGCACTAATTTACCATTGTGTCGTTCTAGTTAGACGGTTTAAGTGCTTGTTTAGAAATGGGTCGCCGACCGGCTAGATGTTACCGCTACATTAAGAATAAGCCGTATCCAAAGTCGCGTTTCTGTCGTGGTGTGCCAGACCCTAAGATCCGCATTTTCGATCTCGGCAAGAAGAAAGCCAACGTTGACGAGTTCCCATGCTGTGTGCATATGATGTCGAACGAGCGTGAACATCTTTCCTCAGAAGCGTTGGAAGCAGCTCGCATTTGTGCCAACAAGTACATGGTGAAGAACTGTGGAAAGGTACTGTTGACCTCATAGCGATAGGACTTTTGGCGAGCTTTAAAATGACGTTGTTAAGGACGGCTTTCACTTACGAGTTAGGAAACATCCTTATCACGTTACTCGAATTAACAAAATGTTATCATGTGCCGGTGCTGATCGTTTGCAAACGGGCATGCGCGGAGCGTATGGGAAGCCACAAGGTCTCGTAGCTCGTGTTGATATCGGAGACATTCTTTTCTCGATGCGTGTAAAGGAGGCAGTGAGTGTCTTTTTCCAACACTTTTGTGGTCCTTTTACTTTAAATTATATTCATAATTACACATGTTTTTTGACAGTGAACATCCGAGGCATATAACGATTAAAAAGCAAGAAAAGCTCTGTTGTGCAGTGTAATCATTTTTAGCAATGTAATGTCATGTTAGATCCTAAAACACCCATATATGAGAGCATATCTGTGTAAGGCTTTGTGTTCATCGTGAATTTCGGCTTAGTTGTAATTGCATAGTTACGAATTCACTCGTTTACTCGTACTCGCAACCCAAAAAATGGATGGGAAGTCGTCCTATGGAATATCACAGCGCATACTTCTTTGCGTTTCAAGATTTTGATTGCTTCTTCTTCGCAGCGTTTTCACACAAAACCTTGACCTGGTGCGATCATACAGTACAGAGGCGCTTATTAGTACAGTATTAACATTAGTGCACAGTCTAAGTAAAGTGCCATCGTTCCCCATATGTCTCATGTTTTCTGAGCGTTCAAGAGTTTTGGAATATCCTACAGGTGAAAGTCCCTTATCAGAGCAGTCCTATAGCTATGCTTTCCCAGTATTCATACTCAAAACTTAAATAATATGCGTAGCTTGCAAGAAGGCGCATTCTGTGTGCTGTATAATAGTTGGGATAGAGTAGAAGCACATGGGCGACGCCGAATCGTTATACATTACATACCGCTTGCCTTGTTTTCTGTCCAGGTGACCATTTACCGCTACCTTTTTTCACGTTGATACAATGAGTTTCAGAACGTAAACCACGCTGTTGAAGCTTTCCGTCGTGCCAAGTTCAAGTTTCCTGGTCGGCAATTGATTGTGGTTTCCCGTAAATGGGGCTTTACTCGTTGGGACAAAGCCGATTACGAACGTATGCGCGCCGAAGGACGCCTACGATCAGATGGTGTCAATGTACAGCTCGTTCGTGAACACGGTCCTCTTGAGAAGTGGATAAATAATCCTATCTGAAGTACTTTGTTGCTCTATTTTGGTTGTTATAAATGTGTTATTTCTTTCTGTTTTTCTTTCGCTATATTATCAGCTTCCGGTTCCGAAAACAAGACGGTGAAAACTTGACCATAATTGATCTGACATTTACATTGTGTACATTTGAATTCATCGAATTTCAAAAGAGGTACGGAATCTAAGGACTTCACTTACCAGAAACTTAGGCAAACGGAGATGGTGTTGAGTGTGTTGACCATATGCACTTACTTTATTATAGAATCTCTTATACAATTCCTAAGAATGTGAGTTGCTAACAGTAATTAAAATAGTCAACAAGCAAAGAAGATCGACAAAGCGTGGAAGCAAAGTCGGCTTCATCATCGAAAAATATGTCATGGATAGATTATTTCATCTTGTTGATTGCTTCTATTCTTTCTAAAATTGGAGGATGAGAATGGTTACACATGGAGAAGAGATAGTCGTCGATGGGTAAGACAAGGTTGTCCTGAAATCAGTGCATCAAATATAGGAAGCACGAATTCCATTGCATACATTAATAGTTATCAATATTCGGAATCGGAAGTAGTAATATTGGAAATAGTATTTCCAACTGAAGAGAAGTCGACGTTCAGGAACGCTCTCCTTGAACCCTTGTATTCACAGGACGTGATTTTAACGGCTCTAACCTGTATTTTCAAATTTACATATCTTAGTTCAGAATAAACTTTACAAATCCAAGTGTGGCAACTGATTTACACAATTTTACCAACAAGAAACTAGTAACCACAATGATGTTGAGATATTTGCAAAACGCCGGACCGCGAGTGTCTGCGGTGGGGAAGGAACGCGCTATTATCCTTTCCGGGCAGTAACGCGTTCACCGCCATACCATGCGGGTCTCTCGTTTCGCCTGTCGCTCAGCTACTTTTATCGATCACTTCCATCAGTAATCACCCGTCAAACTAATAGTTTCATACCAACTACGAAGAATTCCGGATTTCTGGAGGCGACGAAGTCGGTAAAGACCGTTCCGGTATTCGCTTGGTTTCTGAAGCATTTTTCGCACAGGAAGTTATCGAGGTGTTTAAAAAATGTCAGTCGAGTCGGTAGCCAAGAGGCCTACAGAGTATGATAGATGCAGCAGCTTCGCAGCCCAGTGCGTTCAACTTCTGTAGCATCGGTAGTACAATATGTGGCCGATAATTATCAAGAAGTATTGCTTTCCGTTGATCAAAAAGGAGGCGAACAGTCGTTGAAGTTTCTGACACATTTGGTTGATTTGCTGAACGTACCTCTCCGTCGTAATTTTCTAACCAGATTCAGGTGTGATAGATGAGAACTACCACCAGACAATCAACATAACCTTTTGTTGCAGTTTAAGCTCTGCGATGTGCTGCGGAGCTTTATCCTTCCAAGGTCAATCGTCGCCGGTTGTCGTAGGGACCATACTTCAAAAGGCGACTTCTTTGATTGTCGTGCAGCTTGTGCAGCACTTATTTGTCAAGCCTCATCGATCTTCCATTTATCTTTGGATGCTTCAAAACAGTTGAAGTGCCTATACTGGATTTTCCTGTAAGTCTTTCAACAGCTGTACGAGTATTTGCTTGCATGAAAATCTTTAATTCAGGGTCGTCAGCGGAGGTGGACGTCCGCAACCTCCATCTTGACTGTAGCGACGGCGAAATTTTCTAAACCAACGATGCACTGTGCGTTCGATAAGAAATCTTTAGCTCTACACCCCACTGCTTCGAGCCTTTTGGTTGCACTACGTCCGAATTTGAGTTCGTAAAGCAGATTTGCAAAGTTTCTGTTTCGACGTCTGAAATTCTAACTTTTAAGATTTGTCAATAACAGGATTTAAAGTATGATTTAATTATACGGAGTGAAAAGGGTATAAAATCCGCCCTGTGTTTTTCTACACGTTTCGTCATCACACCTCCTGTGCAGATCCCAGCAGTTCTTGCTTTCAATTCGTTTCCTCGCATCCAATATCCACAATGGTCTTCGAACATTCCGAGTGTTGTTTCGGCTGCTGCTTGAGGATTTCGTCTTCCTTATGAATGTCGTAGAATGCTGGTGGAGCCAAATCTTGCAATCTTGGAGATAGTCGGACTGAGGCGCTCCCATGTGGATTGAAGAAGAAAGTAGGAGAGATGTTAATCCAATAAACAAATGAGCCTTAAAATGATATACTGTAGTACAGGATTCGGAAGAGAAAATTATTGATAAAACATATACATGGAAGATGAAACTGGTACTCCGACGTTACTTTCCTGATAACCTAATAGCTTTGGTGCACTTCGCAAGCATTCGTATATGCAGAACGGATTAACTGTTCTCTTCAGAGGCCTAAAAATTTGATATAATGATACCTTGCCCAGTTTTGTAAGCGCAGAGGTAAGGCGGTCTCCATATCCCAGTTTAGTGGCGAACTTATCTGCGTCGAATTCACAACGTCTCGAATGAATCGACAGCAGCACTTCAGTTATCTAAGATGAGAGATAAGAATTCTTTACGACAACAATGTAATGTAGGTCCGGTTAATTCAATTCACCTCATTGTATAAACCCAACACGTACTGAAACACCAGAATAAGTCCGATTATTGTTGGCGTTGTGGAGAAACCAAAGGCCTGGAGTAGATACTTCTGACGTTAATAATAGTAAATAATCACTACGATAACAACGAAAATATTTCCAGAAAATAACAAACTTCCCACCTCATATAACAAATCCCATCGATAGAAGTAAGCAAATACGGACAGCATGACGAAAATGTTAAATTCAGCAATTATGAGGTTGATAAGCGTGTGCCAAAGAGCCCAGTGTCCCAGTTCGTGTCCAAGAACAGCCACCACTTCATCATTCGACATACCTCGTGTCTGAATAAGACCTGATTTCACTCCATGACACGGCACCAACATTGACATTAATTGTAGGCTAATCAGTTGAAAACCACCTTGTCTGTGTCGGATATGTCCTGAGCAGCTTCGGCACATTCCTTCATAACTTTCTCCCTCTCCTCACCGGCTAAGAGGGTATCATATAGCACGATTCGTTTATTATTCCAAAAACCATACATATACGCATTGCTATGGGCGGAGCGTTTCGAACCTATAGAAACGAATTAAAGAACGCTAAATGGGAAAACATCTTTTCTAACATCTTTCTTACTTAGATTTTAGATTTCCCAATAGCAAAATCATGCCCTTGCATAAGAGTAACACTCCCCTGAACATGAAATATACCGTGTTCACTCTGAACTATGGTGGAATAGCACAACAGCGCAGCAACTTATTGAACAATCCAGAAATTAAACGAAAAGTAGTTCATGAAACACTGTTATTTACATCCGTTATTCTTTACACGCGTGAGAATTTGAGAAAGTACTTGCTAAACCTAATCCAAGCAAAAAAAATGCACCTGGATTTCTAAGGTTGTGCTGCTGTCACCAACATTTTTCGACACGAGATCTCAAAGTTACATTTTTGCTTGTGTCGATGTGGCATACTCTTTGACTGTATTTGCATGTAAAAATGTGTTTCGTATCAGAGCAATGTAGACAAGTTGCGTTACTTCAGCTCCTTTGACGTTGCTTTCTAGCGAAGCTATTTATGGAGAAGGATAGGGTATACGGAATTTATTGTGTTTATAATTAGGAGCGATGAACGTTTTCTTAAAGGAATAGGAGAAGACTGATACTAGGACGATACCAGTTTTGCTCCTGCCTTTAATACGTTTTTGAAGTACATCTTTTCCTATCTTGTGGTGGATACGGAATTTAAAATGCAGCTTAATTGTTCCTCGAGAGTGACTCCAAACATTAACTAGAGCTCAGCTCCAAGTCCAAAACTTGCTTTGTCGGTTCAGGATTACCATGAGTTACTTACCGTATACTACGTAGAGCTTAGTGAGAGGGAATTTCAACGATGCTGCGAGCTTTTCTATAGCAACCTGAGATGAATGATGTAGATTTAATACAAAATGCATAAATACTCATACAAGGCTAATAACCTTGAGTTCTCCCTCAGGAAGTGGAATGTACTTATCGAAAAGTGGAGCAATAAAAGCAGGATAGATAGTTAATAATAAAAGTAAAACTACTGACACAAACATCCAGACGTATACGAAGAAGTATGGCCCTGAAAATATGAGAATTAATTAGGATCTTTTGAAGCAAGGTGCTATTTTAAAACCAATTGAAAGATTTTTGTGTAGGAAGATAACCATGAATTAATCGGCAGTTGTGAAGAAAAAAACGTTTTCAGATATTTAAAACACCTAGAATACACCTCCACTATCAACAAGCCATTCGATAACCAGGACCACAGGCGCCATTATAGCCAGTGAAATGATTGTTTTCTTGAGCTAAAAAAGAGCTATTCATAGTGATGATTTTCTGAAATATGACTTTCTACCATAGAAGCAATAGGAAAAACCTTATCCATGATGTAAAAACCAATTGTTTGTTTGTTGAACCCATGTTTCTCCTCAATAATAAAAGTATCATACATGTCCCACGGTAAATCAACAATAATATCTATGATGCAGTTCACTGATAGAAACAGTATGGATGGCAACGGATAGGAAGAGCACAGATGCCATAACCAAGGCAGCAACTGAACGACAAGAATTACCTGAAAGAACTTGCCTTGTCATACAGGAATGGAATAAAGTTATGCCAAAAATGTTAAAACAAGTGTGATAAATATTCTCGTCATGTGAGGTACAACGTGCTTCAAAATGATCCTACCGACTTTCGGACATTTGACACATTCGCGATAACATGACCTCTCCAGGAATCATAGATAATGTGGCACTGAGATTGGTAATATCTCTATAGTGTACTTAGAAGTATACATAAAATTTCTTCCCAAACGAGTTCATTAACTAGTTATTCACTGATAGGTGACTTTTACTTCACACCAGCCGCTATGGTGTCCTATTATTAACGTATGGAATTTACGAGTATAAAGAATACGAATATCGACTCAATGTAGTCTGCAGAACATTTCCAAACTAGTTTTTTTTTATTTCACATGACCCGCTATCACGTGTACTGTGCGGGTCCCAGCACTTCTTGCGTTTGATTCGTTTTCCTCGCCTTCATCGTCCACGAAGGTCTTCGAACATTTCGCGTTTTTAACGTTTTGTTTTCTGCCTTCTATAATTTTCATGGCAGGTTACTAAGCGAAATACAACCACAATGTTGCTGAGATATTTGCAAAACTCTGGACCGCAGGTTGTATTTCGTTGTATTGTGGTTGTATTTCGCTTAGTAACCTGCCATGAAAATTATAGAAGGCAGAAAACAAAACGTTAAAACATTGTGATTTCAACTACAGCCATAGCTTAACTGGGTTCTATGCCGATTTGCGCTCCCCAGATCAACCCCGCTGACGGGTGATTGCTGTGGCAAAAAGATCGATAGAAATAGCTGAGAGACGTGCGAAACAAAGGACCCGCATGGTGTGGTGGTGAACGCGTTACTCCCCGGAAAGGATAATAGCGCGTTCGTTCCCCACCATAGACACCTGCGGTCCAGAGTTTTGCAAATATCTCAGCAACATTGTGGTTGTATTTCGCGTTTTGTTTCAGCTGCTGCTTGAGGATTTCGTCTTCTTTATGGGTGTTACAGAATCGTCGATTCCTATTGCAATATTGGAGACAGCCGAGCTAAGGCAATCCCACGTGGATTGGCGGGGAGTGTTGGGGACCTTGCTTCCTGATGAACTGCATCACTTCTTTTTCACTTCCACTTCCATGTACACTTTTAAATGCAGACAGCAATAAGTATCAAAGAACTATCGTCTCTTGTTGGAAAACTAGTACGTCTGTAATAGCTGAAAATTAGGCAGCGTACCTTGCGGCAGCAAAGCAAAATTAGTCATTGTAACGGATATGTTAGGATCAAATGGTGTTTCGCGTCTCGCAACCATTATTCAGAAACCATAAGACATCTACATACCGTTGTCCACAACTGACCAAAAAGATCGTGAGCGAAGGAGAACAAATGCTTATCTAGTTTGTAATTCCGCGCTTTTGTGTACTCCTAAAAATAAGGAAATCACCTGAAAAGAAACAAAGTGAGGAGAACAGCTCTTGGACCGTTCATATACCTATTCCAGAATGATAGGGTAGAAAATGCACTACATTGTTTACCATCATGGATTGGTTACATTTGCCCTTTGTTCAGAGTAACTCTTAAAATTGACATATCCATCTATACGAACTAACGACTTTCATGCAGCAAATCCCAAGACCGACTATCTTCTAACCCCCGTAATGATAAATAATTCAATGTTTTTCTTGATCAGCAAACATGAGGGTGGTATTATAGAATTATCAATACACAATAGCTGACGTTTCGCCGGTTTCGCCTTCTTCAGGACTTCGAAAGGTAAAACTGACATGCGATCTACTCAGCTGAACCCTTTCATAACCTTAGTCGACAAAACAACATATAATTTCCCACCATTGAAATGAAATTGATTCTTTATAAAAGTGTTCATAATCTTAACCCCTTTATTTACTGCCTTTTTTTAATGGCAGGGTTTGTTGCGAAATATAACTCTTATATAATGCTAAGATATTTGCAAAACTCCGGACCGCAGGTGCATGCGGTGGAGAACGAACGCGCGCTATTGTCCCTACCGCATGCACCCGCGGTCCGGAGTTTTGCAAATATCTTAGCATTATATAAGAGTTATATTTCGCAACATACCCTGCCATTAAAAAGAAAAAAAGGCAGTAAATAAAAGGGTTAAGATTAAGCCTCAGCTTAACTGGGTTCAATGCCGATTTGGGCTCCCCAAATCAATCCCGTTGATGGGTGATTGCTGATGGTAAAAGAACGATAGAACTAGCTGAGAGACAGGCAACGCCAAGGACCCAGATGGTGTGGTGGTGAAGTGCGCTACTCCCCGGTAAGGACAATAGCGCGCGTTCGTTCCCCACCGCAGACACCTGCGGTCCGGAGTTTTGCAAATATCTCAGCATTATATAAAAGTGTTCATGGTTATGAAAGTGGCTGAGTAGGTCGCATATCAACTTGACCTCTCCGGGATCTGCATAAAGCGAAACCACCAGAACGGCAGATACTGTGTGCTTATAAGTGCTATAACACCTAGCTCGTGTTTGCTCATTGAAGAAAACCTGCTAAAGAGAAGCTCATAATGTAGCCTCAATGAGAGGTGATTCACAATACGACTAGCATATTACCTCTTCAGTTATCAGATCTTCTGTATGCTGTGGTCGCTTCTCGTTTGAGGCATGAACTCTATACTGTCGATACTGAAGATAGTAATTCCATAAAAACAGCAACCACTTCGACCCCAGCAGTAATTTGAACAAACAACACGGCTTCATTGGAATACCCCTAAACAATTTGTTAATTCAATCACAATACGAAGAGAAAAGCCAGCTACCAAGCATTTCTCCAGTTTCTCTGCAGAAAAATCAGAACAACTTATTATGTATCGACTCTAGCGTCCAGCCTCGTACTATCTACTGACTCTTACACTACATTTGAAACACGTAACTTTCCTTTTTTATAACAAATGAAAAACACGCTACTACCCACCCAGATGAATCTTAACAGTAATAGGTAAATAGGTAATCATTCCCTTCTCAGCCGGGTGCATTTGAAAACACAGCTCAACAATATACAGTTAGATGCACCGACTACCTCCATCACTGATTTGCAAGGTTCAAACTTGGTAGTCTTTATAAAGGCCGGTGCGACAAAAACATACATACATACAGAAATCTCAAAATCACAGATGGCGAAATGAGTCGAGAACCTTCTCGACTAAGATACGCACAAGTGAAAGTGCATAATTACATCACAGACATCAGAAGTACTCGGAAATTCAATGGATCACAAGCACCGTCGTTTATAATTGTTCAACATCAAACATACGAAATGACCACTGTTGCAGGACCCGACTGCACTTTCTCTAATCATGGCACAACAGAAGGAACTTCTTGCCCGCTCACTCACTAGCAATATTTACAGATCAAATAACAGAAGCAAAGTTTGACATGCCGATCGTATCAATTTCATTAGTGGAGACAACCATTAGTGAAGTGATAGCTGTAACTCTTTCATATGGATTCGTATTCATCAATATCACGGACTAATAGGAATGATAAAGCAGCACGAAGACATAGATCGCAATCATCAGAAGACACAGAACGGAGTAACTGCCACGACCGACTTTCTATTAACCTCGGCATTGATCAAATGATTTTGTTAGTATTTTTTGAGCAAGCTCAAAAAATTGCTCAAAAAATACGAACAAAACGGAGTCTTCATTCACAAGTATCGAATGAGATTCAGGGAAACAACTGATTTACATGTTACAACGGTGAGTTAGTGTTAACAGATGAGCATTCAAAGTTGAAGAAAATATACGTATATATAGGGATGGAACTGAACAACAGCATTATTTACCAATCTGTTTATTGTTAGAGCCACTACTTCCCTCACTATCTTTGCTATTGTTACTATCGCGAGTATTCTGACGGTCGCTATAGTGAATGAGATCCTTCTTTTCATCAATAACGCTTTCAGAATATACGTCTGATTGTAGGACAGAATCCACATCAACCTAGAAAAAATTCGATCGATTGAAAAGTACGGGCAAAACCATTTGTTCGAACACTGAAAAAGATCGAAGGTAGTAAGTTAAGTGAGGTGCAAAACAAAAAGATTAGAAATCAGTCTCGGTAAATACTGAAGAAAAACATAAACACTAAACGATGGAACGAAAAAATCAGATACTCGCGTCATCAGTTAGCGTATCAATAAAATCGAACTTGACACAACACATAGACACATTTCAGTTCCTACGTATATATAATTACTAACGAAAAGAATAAGGAAACAAGTACCGAACCATGCATAAAAGCGGTACCTGACTATATAAAGCAGTAAAATAAAAACAACGACCTTGGAACTACGGAAATAAAGAAACAATTCAAAGGGAAAGTAAAAAGAAAAGGTTAACTATTACAAGTTCTTGCCAGAACTATTAGTATACAACGCTGATGGCTTCCCCTTAGATATCAAGTAGAATAATAAAGTGATAAAAACAAAACACCAACATGTAGATTAGCAAAAGGATCTTGCAGCAATTGTTCAGCCGACTTTCTCTCGTCGGGACTAAATACGAAGCACGAATCCAGAAAGTGCTTCAAGAGACCTCCTATGGGAATTGGATACGGTGGTATACCTCCTTGACCAACCTGAAAGTAAGAACAATACTAAAATCCAAAAACGACACCATCAGCTACATATTTGTCGACCTTTGCCTTCAGGTCCTACGAAATAGATAAACAACACACCCACCCGCATGGTGATTTGGAAAGGGTGCATGTCCGGCCATGGTCGGCGACCAGTACTCTTAATTTTGTTTTAAAAAGACATTCTTTAGTCTCAAATAAAAAATGACGATACCATCTCTAAAACTACGCATCCAATACTCCAAATATCCACAGCCCTTCCATATCCTCGATATCGTCCATCTTCTGCGACGCCACCGTACGTTAAAACTTCTGGAGCCTAGAAACATAGCTAATTTTCAAAAATAAAATAGAAAAGCATGTGGTTCCAACCGAAAATTGCTGAAAATTAAGCCGAAATCCCATTGCTTTTTTTCATCAAGTGGAATCAAACGACGAGTCACAATTTCAACGTCGTAAAGTGCAGAACCTAGTTTTTTTTCGCATGAATAGAATTTTCTTTTATTTCAGTCGATAAAGTTCACCACAAGCTGAGATTATTTGTCTAAACTTCAAAACAGCAAATATTTTCTATTCGTTATAAGTCGAAATTATTTCACATCATTCATTTGCAACAATAAATTTAAATTGTACGCAGCATAGTTTACCACAATCCAAAAAACTACGACATTCCTTAAAATCCACTACAGGGTTAAATGATTTGAACCAAAATTTCAACTGCGAACCATGTACTGCACAGTTCCTGCGTATTCAGCAATTTCACCATAAATAGTAGCCTGATCGCGAAGGCGTATAGAACATCCAAAATCACCGAGTTTCAAGACACAGTGTAAGTCGAGGAAAATATTTGCCGGCTTAATGTCACGATGAACAACCTGAAAGTAATGCTCAGGCACAATGAAAATCATGATAAACATTCTATGAGAGAAAACGCAGAAAACCTTTTGACTGTGCATATAGGCGACTGCGCGAAGCAAGCTATTTGTGTAGCGTCTCACCAGCTCCTCGTCGAGACCTTCACGACATATCTTTTCAAGAGTCCCTTCGCTACAATATTCCATCATAATTAATACCTCATCCTAAACAAATAACCATATAATAAATGCAACACCAATGAATACAAGTCCTGAAGGTCTCAGTTTAGATGTTTTCTATATTTCCTATAAAGTAGAAGAACAATGTAAACCCCCAATCACCTTAAGTCAAAAACCGTATTAAATATATAGAAAGCCTACTTGTCGAACTTCGCAACCATAGTACTTGACGAGATTTTTGTGGTTGAGATTACGAAAAATGTCAACTTCTCCTTGGAGGACCTAAAGAAGCAACGATATCACAGGGATTTCACGTGCAAATTTAAATGTGCATGAAAACAAAAGACGCTGAAGATCTGAATAAGCAGTCTGAACATGTTGCATTAGTTGATAATTTCAAATATACAGAAAGATTAAATATAAGACTAGAAACACACCTTCTGGATGCTTCGTTGTACACGGATCACTTTGATTGCAATCACGCATTGCGCATCTACATTTAGCGCTTTATATACAGTTCCAAAAGTGCCTCCAGCTAAACAAGCAACAACTGTTTTCAAACGTACAGTTGTGGCTTCGTCATTGCGAAGGTTACAGAAACGAGATTTCATGGAAACCCACCGAGCTTTTCAAGAATTTGATACTTGAACGACACTGTTTTTGAGGGATTGATGAGGTTTTCCATGCTGAATTCCCTTCTCTTCCTAACGACTACACGACCCAGTGGAATAGCGCTCTTTAATTCAAACACAAATAAATGCTCACAATATTTATGGATTAAAAATTATGGTTTTTATGCGCAGTTATTTTGAGATTCCAGAATCGGTTAACACATTGTACCATAAAAACATGTATATTTTTACTTACTCTCTTCGCCACCATTTTATCCGTTTCTAAAGCAGAATTCTCTAGTTTGGCTCGCCGCGAGACAAGAGAAACTTTGCCCATGCTTGATGAAAGTCCATTATAAGATCGTGGTGAACTTGTTGTACTGATGCGAGACCTCAAACTCAATGCTGTTGTGACGACTTTGTCTCCTAATACCAACCGCTTACAATCTTCTACGTCAGCTTTAAATGCCTAAAACAAAAAATCACCAATATTTTAAGCATTTTTTATTGTGAAGGAAAACTCGCCTGGAATTTATGGTCGGACAGATAACCATTGTATCTTGGATCGGTTATCAGATGAATAAAATTGAAAGCATGACTAGCCCAAAGTGGAATATGAGGCGATGGTGATGGTTGCATCACACACACCTGAAAATGTAACAAATTTAGTGTCTTAGAATCACCACTTACCAAAAAATCATTTTCTGGAGAATAGAGAAAATAAATAAAAGATGAACAAAAGTACGAGTTCTTTCCACTGATGAATGATGCTGAGTCCTCGTGTAACTAATTCTGCTCCGAATTCTTGGAGGTAGGAATCGCCAACATAACGACAAACATCACGATGAAACTTGAACACAGTCAATTAACACATGACGGATGATATGTACACTACAGTGTATAATTTCAGCTCAGCAGGTTCCAGAACTTTTTTTTCAAACTACGTATATTCATTCAACAGGTAAATGAATGCACATCAAAGTAGGAGAGGTACAACCAGAAAAAGCAATCTCCGCATTTAACAATTTACAAAAAATCTTTCTGTTCGAAAAGCTCACTGACCGGTAGTTTGACTAACAATTAACTGTTATTTCTGGTAGGTATAAAAAAATACGGCGTAAAGCGCAAAACATTATAAACGCTGAAGGAAATGTGTTTGCATGATGGACCATAACAGCACGTAGTAAATAGTAGCGTATATACCATTCATACGTATCTAGTTACCAAAACCACTTATTTTCAAAAAACCAACAAGTACTTAGAAGGCGAAAATAGGTGCCCCAAGGCGTACCTCCACTAAACACCGAGCGTAATCAATTGGTTTGTCAACTTTCTTAACAGCACAATCACAATTATTTTCAGAAAGGAAAACGTTTTGTGCTTCCGAGAATTTTCTTCAAAATTATCGTTGTAAAACCCTTCCACCCTTTTTCAAACAGCAACAGTCTGAAGCTGTTTAACTTTTTTTAATCATAAAATTCGTACTTCCATGGTCGAACATTGAACACATTAAACGTTCACTATTCTTGAAACGGTGCCGCGTTTCTACCTGGAAAGCGAAGTTGAATGCTCGAATAAGAGTGGAATGGACATAATCGCGCATTTTTATCGAGTTGTAAGTTTGTTGGACATCCAAGCACAACGTTTCTAATCGGTCAAAAAGTACGGCAGCCAGTTCCATAAAATTCTCCTGTAAAATCATACAGTAGTAACGCCAAGGCATAAAAATTTCCAGTAACAACTTTGAAGCCACGTTAAATAAAACGACAAATAAAACAACCATCTATTTCTATATACGATTGGAGCTCACCGCCAATTTTCTCAATTCCGCATCAATATTGTGGTGCGACGAACAAGATGGCATCACCATTTCAAACACTGCAGGAAATCGCTTCTCAAGATTACAGTCACTACCAACCGTAAAAACCACATCTGTCTGAAATCCTTGTAACAAACAGGAGTGGTGATTTACTAGTCTCTGTAGCATGATAACAAATGCTAAATAAGTTTACTCTTAAGTAATGGATATTTTCCAATACACTGTCCTCAAGACTTAACTTCACCCGACGGTAGTTCCAAGTTCGTCTGCAAAAAAATAAACCATGACAAGAAAACTCAAATGAATCTAAAATACTGACCTAAATTCCTGTTTAGGGACCACGATAACCCGTCCACAATCTGGTATTCTGCATTCGGCAAGAGCAGTTACTAAATCATGTGCCATCGCCTTATCGGCACTAAAGCAGTCAACCAGCACACAAACAACAACCGAAGGTTCACCGAAATCAACCTGTAACATCATGGCATTTTTTCTCGTTATTAGTCACTAGCATGAAATCGGAAGGAACTAAACTAACCAAGCAATAATCAGATCGAAGAACGGTGGCGACAGCATCGAGCGGTTGTCGCATTATGTAACCAGTTGCATCGTTAAGATCGAACAGTACACTACGAAGTAATGCGACGAGTCTAGCTGAGCGTTCTTTCACCTTTAATGCAGAATAAAGTAAACTAATTGGCATTGTGGCCATGAAAGCCAGAAATTGAAGATCTGCAAAAAACCAGTTAGATCGAATTTTCATTTCAAAGTAACAAAAAAAAACAATTACCAAACACCACTGAAGATTTTATGAAAGCTTAGTATGAATGCTATAACTCCGATGTAGGTAATCGCTAATAATTATAGCTCAACGCCAATAATTTTGTGAGGCAGCCGCTAATAACTCATATCGGTCTATCTCAGCCCTCTTCCAGTAAACGAGCTCACCCACTCTGTTGCATTTTCCACTTACTATTCGGTTCATTAAAGAATCTCGCCGCTATTTTCTCCTCTTCCATATTCTACTTACATTCCACGTTTTTCTACTCATATTTCCAGTATCTCGTATGCATGTTATTAGAAAATTTAACAGACTTTTATAATGATGAAAGACTAAGGAATCACTCACCATCCAGCAAGCACTATGCTATCAAAGCTTGACAATCGATTTCACAATATACATTAACTATGTTTCGGCACTTTTATATATTTTCATATCCACCTACAATACAGGAAGATCGAAGAACCTGTAACGTCTCCATAGACAGAAGTGTTAAAGTAGAAATATGAGCACACACTCCCTCACCATCTCCGAATATCTTAGTGCTCTACCCACCAGCAAGTCTCTGCAGTACGACATAACTTAACCTTCGTTACGAAGTCTCCACGTAGGATAACCTTATATAAAAACAGCTTTTTTGTAAATCTTTATGTATAAGAATAGATTTTTTCGGCAGGCACCTGATATAACATTTGTCGTGGGGAAGTTAACAATTAAATCCAAAAAAGTATGTACACCAAAAAACCTTGTGGGGCGAAATAAACAACCAGGATGAATATGAGTGCTAATCAATCCATAGAGCTAATAAAGGATAAAGCCCTCTGCGTTGATCAATCCCTAAGGGATGCTCCATGCACTCGAGTTCACTAAGCAGCGTTAGAGGTAACTGAATGCATATCTGGCCTCTTCAATGACTTGTGGTGTTCAACCGATATATCAAGTCGGTGCTGCTGTTCTCTTATACAGATTTGGTACTACTTTGCTGAACCCGGAGAGATGGAGAGCAGGTGAACCGCGACGCAGGGGATCGAACCGTGTTTACCGCATGAGACCTCTAATCACTGCACTAGAGCGCTCAAACTGGAGCTTATGGTTATCGCGTATGTTCTCTCCATAGCTATGAGTGGAAATTAACACAAGTCGGTTTGCAAGTGCAATCAGAAGAGTAACCCCAGGCAAGGATGTCGTACCTCTTTGATAATGCTATTGTAAGCTCGAAAAGCATCGAACAACGTTGACTGCTCGCGAATTTGACTGAAAAAGGGAGTAAAAAGAACCTAAAGGATTTTTGGAAGGCAAAACAATGACCAATAGTGATGTGGAAACCTGTCATAACCATTGTCGACTTCATCAAAACACTGTTCTTCATCTGAATCAAGGATTCGATGTTTTTCTGATATACTGCCCATGTTTCTTTTCCAGAATGTCACTATCAGTTTATCCAAGAGGTTCGGCACTATCAAGCTTAAATTAGTTGGTTCAGTAATTCGCAGAACAATAACTGCACTCTTTTTTCAATAACGTCTATTGCATAGTACTATAGTGATATTCAGATTCTCAACACCTAATCTGTCACCAACCGTAAATCATTACGAAAGAAAAACATGTCTTTCAAAACATTCAAAAAGAAACTGAAATATGAAATATAAGACGACGGACTATACTGAAATAACTGAAAAGATCGATTTTATACATACATATTCTTACGAACTGCCCATGTTGTAACGATGCGAAACAATTAGATCACTTTGGATCCGCATAAAAGAAGACCTAGATGGGGAACTTAAACTCGACAAAATATCCCTTAAGGTACACATAGAGCAGAAAAGCACAATCTTGATAATTTTGAAGCGACTGTCAGGAAGCTAGCACACGACTCAAAAACAATGCAAAGAACTTTTGAAGTCGTTTGGATAAATTCCAAAAGCTCAAAGATGAGAAAGAGAATCTCTCATTATCACACGTGACCTGGCGCCTTTTCTCAGGCTGTTTTTTGATCTGGGTGCGTTTCACACGTCGTCCTAAGTGACAACAACGACAACTGATGCAAACTTAGCATCAGCTCAACAAGGATAGTTCGTAAGGATTATGCTGAAACAGTTTTTCTATAATACTAGACCGATCCATGACAGTTTACTTCATTCGCGATCACAAGAGTTATATGCAAGCGTATCATCTTTTTCATCTACTGTTTAGCCCTAAACAACTTTTCTGCCTCTGCTATTTATTTTGTTTTCTCGCATTGAATCGATGACTGTAAAGCGCGGTGCAACGAAAGGTATTTTCTACTTTTCATAATGCACAAAAATGTCTCCCAAGTCAGACTGCAAGCTACGAGGGGAATACCAAAATGTCTCGGCTGCACAGAAAAAATACATGATTCTGTGGTGATTGTTTGCCTTTTATATTGCAAAATGAACACAACTGGTGATAGTACGTAAGGTACTTGATGTCCTTCTTGGCCATAACAGACTGCATGTGCAGTTGGACGTAATTCACAAATGATTTGACCGAAAATTAGACGTTATATCACCTAGAAAAAATATGCATGGTCGGCAGTTGTGCTAAAGAGTCCTCGAATAATCTCCATTTGCTTTCTAAAAACTAGAAGAAAAACTTTCTACATAAACTCAAAACCAATACGGTTTACAGGTAAAAATTTGATCGTACCAAAATGACGACGCAAGTATATCAAGTCCACTATGAATATGTCTTGAGCACTGGACTGCCGTTCGCCACTCTCCCTCGAGTTGTGAGAACAACCTTCCAAGATCGCCACTTTGTGCTACCTTGTTGCACCAACGCTCCACATAACACAGGTATTTCTAGAAAAAAAAATAAGAATAAAAATGCATCAACGGTATTTTTGTCTCATGAATATATCTACAAAAGTGCCAGTGTACCAGGCAGGCATAAGGGAGATCGGTTTCACCTCACCTGTCTGCTTAATTGTGCCCGGTCTGGAAACTCTCCAAATAAAAAGGTGCGAAATAGGTTTGTTAAATTAATAGTGTAGCTAATTTATAGAGAACAGAGTGAGGTATCTTCTGCAAAATCTGGTAGCAACTGCGAGAATGCTAATTTTTTTCTTTTACATGACCTGTCACCACATCTACTATGAGGAACCTTGCACTTCTTCCGTTCGATTAGTTTCCTCGCTCATCGTCCACAGTGGTCTTCGTACATTCTGAGTGTTGTTTAAGCTGCTTATTTGAGATTTCCTTTTTTTCTTCATGAGCGTTGCAGAATGCTGATCGAGTCAATTCTCTTTGGAATCTTGGAGATAGCCGGGCTAAAGCGTTCCCACATGGACTGGAGGAAAACGTGGGGTTGGGATCGAACTAGTGCCACTGTTTTCTGATCGATGGCATCACTAACCACTGCGCTATTCCCGAATGGAAACTAGTAGCGTTTTATCTGTCACCCTGCGCAAGAGTAATAAACCACGATGTTACTTGCTTCACTTGTAACTCCGCTAATAAATCGAGTAACTTGTCGGAGTTTGCTTTCAAATAAGTCTATTCCTAGCAAAGATTGCGAGTGGGAATGATGACTTATCACTTGGGTGACACCGTTCTGGAAAGGAAAGAGAACAGCATGCTGTTCACCAGCATCCAGGATCAACTGTAAATAAGATGACCTGGAAAATGCTTATCCAAACAAAAAAAAAATATTACCACAACGTTGCTGAGACATTTGCAAAACTCTGGACCGCAGGTGTCTATGGTGGGGAACGAACGCGCCATTGTCCTTTCCGGGGAGTAACTCGTTCTCCACCACACCATGCGGGTCCTTTGTTTCGCCTGTCTCTCAGCTATTTCTATCGATTTTTGCCACAGCAATCACCCGTCAGCGGGATTGATCTAGGGCGCCCAAATCGGCATAGAACCCAGTTAAGCAAATATCTCAGCAACGTTGTGGTTGTATTCCACTTAGTATCCTGCCGCGAAATTATAGTAGGCAGAAAATAAAAAGGTATAAGAAAAAAAATATTGTTTGAAAAATTGACCAAATATGGAAATACAGAAAAGGTTCCACCAACACCAAAATGCTTAAATCCTCTATAGAATCTAAGCTGTAACTTAAGATTTATGAAAACGATCAGAAACACTATAACGCAGATAAAACAATACTAAAAACAAATATATGATCATCGCACAATATTATAACTACTGCATAACAAATCAATTGACAAGGATACCTCGAATACTTCTTTGAGTGTATCGTCAAAATCAGTTGTGCATAGCTTTCCACGCTGCCCTTTAGGACATATAGATTGGATGACGTCGAAAAAAAAGAGTTTCACCCTTAAGTTAAAATAATCGAATGCAAATGCGTTTAATAACAGATTCTGTTTACATGCAACTCTTTAACACACCGTACAGCCTCTTCAATACAATCACGACAGTCTTCAATCAGTGCTTCCATTGTTAAAACATCCATTTCAGCATCAGAAGGAATACTCCATTTCGACCTAAGAGGCATTGCATACAAATTTTTAAAACATTTCAATAGGACATTTCCAAGAACGATACCTTACGCTCAGCCACTCTCTTACAAGTTCTAATAGCACACCAAGAACAAAAACGAACATTGGGCCAACAGAAGGCAGGCATATTGATTTGGCCTTTTCGCTAGTAAGGGTGTAATTTAACATTTCACTATATCGTTCCATCTAAATAATCACTGGTTATAAAAACGCAAAAAATATTTCTATCTAACAATGTTCCTTAGTTCCATATCAAATCTCACTTGCACACTTGACAACCTCATCATTGTTCGCTGGCGAGAAGCTGCATGCGCGTAACTGGCAATGGGCGGCTGAAGAAGAACAGCAGTCTTTGTAACCGTCCTTTCACATACTTCCCAAACTCGAGCAATTACCCGCTTCATGCCCTAGAAGTAAAACTTATCGACATATGAAAACCTTTACGGGATTAAACTATAGAAAACTCACATGATTAGCAAATATTGAAAGAAAGCTCTAAAAAATTTCCTTAAAAACAACCCATGCCATTCATTATAAATGGTGAACTCTTTCATCTTTATTTACAATGATGATCCAAAATATGTGAACCGTTTGCATCTGTTGGTTTCTTGAAATCAAGAAAAAGGCGAGAAAACAAAACAGGACGACTAAACATGAGATTAAATCTCATATGGAATAAAAACACACCCTGAGAAGCAGACTTTTCTTCACAAATGCTGCAAATACTGGCCGGGCATCACGCAAGCCAACTGTCCAACATGTGCTATGCAATGGTCGGGGCCAACACTTTTCAGCTTCAGGAAGTCCGCTTACTTCAAACATGGTCCCTAACTGTAACATTAACTTCCTAGCGTTTATATTAAGGCGTGCGAAAAAAAATTGCTCGCCTGTGTAATTTTCGACGCCAAATCATCTACAGTGTTCAGCCACGTAATGAGCAATGTGACCTTATCAAGCAAGCTTTTTGTAAATGCAGCTCCTTTCCTTGAGCAGCAATCCTCCTCCATTGCTTTTGAATGAGGAAAAAGTGCTTGATATTTCTCGAATTCACCCAGCAAACCACTCACTAGAACCAGAAAAAACCTCTGTAATTTAAGAGCGAAAATAAGTACTACATGAATACAATTTGAAAAAAAGGAAGAAAAAATCTGTTTGATTTTTTCTCCTCGATGAACTAAGTACTAATCCTACCTTCTTTCCTAGTGCTTTTCAAATGAATCATGTAGTTCACTTCCAAGCGCTCATACCCACCAACCATTGGGATCGCCTCGTAATGCATAATTTTATCCAGGATTACACTACGTTCCTCACGTTTGGCAAAAACAAGAGCATCAAATTCAAAAGTAGCGTCTTGTCCTCCAGAAACTTCTCTGGATAGTAAACAATACCATGTGTGCGGCAAAAAGCTGCATTGTAATAAATTAGGAAAAAGCAAACAGAGATGGAAACACATGCAAACCTTCCACTAAAATAAGCTCGCAAAATCAACCACAACACATCGCCAAACCGATGTTGTTCCTTTTTTGAGCCTATAGTGAACGTCTGAAAACGAAAGATTTTAACAGAGCATGCAAAGTCCACTGATGATTTATTTCACCTGATCTGATCTACCCTGAGTATTAGCCATCGTGAGTTTCGTCGAAACATATCTGTCTGCACAAAGAAAGTTGTCGAGATCATGGAATAACTTGCTTCTGGAAGTTAAAGAGAGCAGATGAAAAATCCTTTGTCTTTTATCCAGTACTTCAAAGAAACTGGAGTCAACCCTCTCTGAACCTTTCGTTCTCAGTTATTTCAGCCAACACGGTTTCCTGAACATTTGTTTTCGTAACATCAGCTGTAGAGCTAGAGCTTGAAGATGTGCGTTCGATGACAGCAAGACAACGAAACGTGGAAGGTGGACTAGCATGATTGAGATTCTTAACTTGGATATTTTTCGTTTCAGTTAGTGCAAGACATTGGTCTATTTCAAAGAATAAAAATTTGAATAACTCCTCACGACATTAGAACACAACAAGAGATGATGTCTCACGAAAGAATGAAATCAATGTGGCGCTTAACTTTTTTTACAAATTTCCATGTTTCGAAAATTAGTTACAACGACAAATTTGGCACACCGATTCATAAACGCTTTCCCAATAATCGTCTTCATCGTCGTCCATATTCATGGAGTGGTCAACGCGCGACTTTCGACGGTAACCTAAATTTCAAAAATAGAGAACGGCATCCAGAAGCATAAACAGGAATAAATCGGCTAGCATACATCGTCCAGCGGCCGCCCCGCCACGTCCGAGACTCAGTCGCCCGCGGTAAACTTTTGGCGACCGTCCTTTGCTCGATTTGCTTAATCACAATTGATAAAATTTACTATATCGATTGCCATTCAACATAAACGGGCCGAAGTCTCAGTTCTAAAACATATGTGTATGTCAGTGTCTCATATATTACTGGGAGATCCATTTTATATATGATTCTCTGGCGGTCGGTCAACTAATCGCAGAATTCGATACAGTCATAGGAACCGCTGTTGCACTGGAATAATCAAAGCTGCAAAGTTGGAAGCTTCTGATCCACAGTGGACGACGATTGCAAAAGAAGAAAAAGATGTATTTTTCTATATATAGTTTGCGAGCCGTTTAAAATGAAACCGATGACTCTGGGTACCAAAGCTAAGTAAAAGAAAAGAATCGAAAACTGTGCGAAGTACATATCAATCAAATCAAGAAGGTTGGGACCACATAAGCATAATTGTTTTAAAACAGCTCAAAGAAGGAAAAACTTCAAAATTGATCCAGTTGCAATACAGTTAAAGCGGATAGTGATGCCTGTTGAAGATGGTATAGGTAGAAAGGAGGCCGCTCAAGAAGAAACTCGAGTTGACATGGAAATTATAACGAAAAATTCTATTGAAACCATAAAGCACCTAGATGGTTCTCCACGAAAGGAAAACGGTTCTTCGATGTATCAGCAATCTAAACATTATCAAGCATCAAAATGTGTTCTAAAGCTAAACTGTGCTGAAGAAAACGACGATTTCTTCACTCTCCGCAAATAGACCCCCTCCCCCTCCCCACGATATTCTTCTTCTTCAGCCGTGGCGGAACTACTACAAGTCAATACCGTACAAAATCGTCAAGATCGATTAATAACTACAACGTTCCTAATCGATGTTGATCAAAAGAAAAGAGCCACTTGCGGACACTCTACGTAAGTGCTGGTGCTGAAGTTAAAGCTAAAGTACGAATTCCTTCATCAACTGCCTAGCTGTACAGACAAACAACACGGTATTACTACTTTTCTAAACGTCTCGAATTCTTTCCAAAGAAAGTCCTTGAATCAAAATTTGGTCAAATTAGCCGTTGAGTACCTAGTGAGCTAAAATAACCAATTTTTTCAAAAGATAGCATACTTAATATTTTACCACGTTAATAGAATAACACTGTTCACAATCAACGGTTGCTACTATTTATTGATTAATAAGCCTGAATATCTTTTTATGTTATAGCAATAGAAATTCCCATTTAAACTAAGGAATTTCATATCCAATGGGATTCAATGTTCGTAGAACATTAAACACTAACCGCCGAACAGATGATTGCAGTTCCTGACAATTATCAATCTGCGAAAGGCTGCGACACCGTTTGATACAATGTGGCTGTGAGGATTTCTCCATTTTCAAAGGACATGGGAAGTGTGACACTCACTTCAAGGCATTTCTGGAACACCAAATACGTCGAAATATTAAAAAAAAAAAAGCTTTAAAAGTACGAAAGATCGCGCGTGAGTCAATCTATATTAGATCAGAAAACAAATTAAAGAACACAAGAGGAGAAAATAAGACAAAAAATTTTCACTTTCTAGGAGAAATATAGCGGAAATAAACCGTGGCATTATATTACCGCTGAAATATAAAGGTAGAAATTAGAAATTTCCGATTAAGTGGAATGGCATACGTGCATTAAAAATTGGTATAGAATCCAGTGCAAAAAAAGTACCGACATCGTAGATATTCAAAGGAGTTTATTACATTATATTCCAAGTTTAGGCATAATAATGAGTGAAAGAAAACAAAGCTGTGACGAGAAACAATATGAAATGAACCAGTAAAAAACACAGCAAGCACGACGAACTTTTACCTAGGACGCAAGGAAAATGTCTCACTGTTATTACAACACTGCAATAGAATAGTAATCCATGAATTACTACAGCTATTATTATGAAATAGGAATGCAAAAAAAAAACTGTTAAAAAAAGACTGTGCCTTAAAAAATAACGTACTAGTCTTCTTTATCTTCACAAATTTGCCGCAACTGACTAGGATGGACTAACTCCGGAGCTACGCACCGTCTCAATGCTGATGAAAGAACTTGATCCATCATAGAATTCACAATGACTTCATTCGAAACTAATGGTGACAATTCATGTTGAAGAAAATAACAATCCACCTTAAAATTATCGTCAGCGAAAAATCGTTTTAATACGCAATTAAATCACCACTGTAACATATTCGAGACAATACGCATTGACGGCACTGCCTATTCGGCCCAAAATAACTCGGCTACGCAACCAAACACGAATATTTCAGCTCAGTGAAAACTCTAACTGAAGTAAAATCCGTTTGGCTCTACTACACAACTTTGCGCATAAAGAACAGGTTTCACAATGACATTCAGGTTTCGTGGAATTTATAAATACTTTTATCGGTTCTTTATTGTCACTGCTCGCATTTTGAGCAGCAAAACGATTAAGGAACCAGGATTTCACCAACGAAGACCTGATAACGCATCGCTGATGTTGACATAAACCCTTAGAGCGGCGACGCAAAATCTCTTCTAACAAAAAACATGGCAACTGCCGAAAAGCCATCATTGTCGTATGTGAAATTAAAAGAAAAGGAATAGAGACAAAATCATTCAAGATAGCGTACCTGAATTTGCTGTACTGCAAATTTTCCATAAGTCTGCAACCTAACTGATTCAGTGAATGACTTTAGCAAGACCATTACAATGGCACCAATTATTGAAGCTTTGTTGAACTGAAAATAAGATCAAACTACACAAAGATTTAACAGTCTAATATAAAAAAACGAGGTGTATTGAACGCACATGCAACTGCTGGTTGAAATCGATACGTTCACACCATAATGAATCTCGTGAAGAGTCTGTCGCCGAGGGTTGCGGCAATGGTCTTCTATGACGACTTTCTTTACGACCAACCTCACCACCAATTAAACGAGACAACATAGAATCACATTCTAATATTTCCTCAACTGTATGTCTCACAGCCGATCTTAAAAAAGCACACTATAAACAAGGTGTGACTCATTAAGAACGGGGATTTTTGAGTACCGGAATAACTGAATAACGATGCAACAAAAGGACGTGGATGCAATACTAACAATGCTTTTTAACAGTAAAGAAGATGAATCTGAAATTTCCGAACACCGGCAGAACAATCGCTTTTTGGTTAGTTATTCTATTCAAAGAATTCAAAGTACTTAAATTCCTTAGGATATTGAATTATAACGAATCACAGCAGCATTTGAAAAACCTTCCATTCCGCATCGCATACTGATTTCGACCCAGAACGCGGTACTGTACCATGGATTCTTCGTAATGGTAATTTTACACTAGTACGAAAGATAAGCAACCCATAACCTAGAATCAACCTTAGCAAGTACTGGAAGTGTATAGTACAGCAGATCATATTTCAAAATCCTCTCCGAATTTAGATTTTTTCCGAATCCACTCTAATTCTTTTCGTCCGTCATCTTCCCTTCTAGGTGTGTGACCGTCCCATTGATGCTTATTTATTGAAAACTATTCTATTGAGTCGCAAATGCTGAAATATCCTTCAAAAATCTGCTCCAAAAACAGATGCATTGAGTCCACCGATTCATTTTTAGAAGAACGCCGTTCTAGAGCTCTGTGTTTTATATGAAACTTTCCTCGACATGGCACAAATATGAGATTATAAAAACTGTTGCAATGAATAAATGAACATGAATAAATGAACATATGGATCGTGAACAGTAAAACAAATAGCCACTGCTAGGAGCTTGAGGAAGGTTACATTGTTCCTTGCCTTCTACCGAGTTCCTCTCTCAACTCACGATCCATATTAATGTAGGCTGTGGACTGCTCAATGGGTTATCTCCCACGTCTTAAAATTAAACGAATAAAAATTCCCTGTTCTATATAGGTTCGGCTTTAAGCAAGGACCTCAAGATGCACGCGAGGATAACCGGCGTGAAAAGTTTACAGAGTACACTCACCAAACTAACAGAACGCTAGTGACATAGGTCATTTCTATTGATATTTTTGCGTAAAACGACGCTGTCTGAAGTACTCCACCGAATGGGTACCCGTTCATTTGGTTGTAAGGCCATGAGTTTTGTTAGAAGAGCGTGTAGGCAATGGCCGCCAGATCGTGTAAAATCACCGGAAACATTATATGGTTCAAGGGCTGTCGCAAACCTCAACCTTTTAATAGTAGCATAAACTTCTGCGGAAAGAGTTTTCGACGGCGTTTCTAGACTGCCCCGAAAGAGCTTGTTGCTAAGAGCACTTACCTAACTCCGTCTGGAGATGCTGCAGGTTGGCACACTCCCTCGCATCCCTTCACCAGGGCTTCGCCTAATTCAAGCCCACGGAATTTAGCAAAACGCCGGAGAAGGACTTGTGAACAAGACTTTAGTAGACCTGTCACTTCAGAAACTCCTAAACAGAGATAGTGTAATAGTGCTATTCCCAAAGCTATCTTTAATGGTGATATTACTGAAAAAACTAGTGGACAAAATGTTACGGAACCGATATTCTAAGAAAAGCGATATTCAACACATATCATTCGATACGCATTAGGTACAAACGTGGGAAAATAACGACTGCTTCCAATTTCAAGCGAAAATATCTCAGCTCATTCGGAATTTTTTTGGTTCTTTTCGGGTGTTACTATTCTAGCGAAATTGAATTTTGATTCTCGAGAAACCACAAAACGTATTTCCTTTACTTTTTCTTCGCGTTGAAGCTTCCTTTCGAAAATGAAAGTAACCGAAACAAGCATGTTTTCAACTAGCAGAATGTGAAGCCGTTTCCTTACGTAGATGTCGTTGATTAATGCGTCTTGCGTTGCAACTTTTAAAACCTTCTACTTCATTTACGAATTTCCGAAAATTTTAAACCTATGTAGATTTAAAAGTCGAAGAATATTCCATAGAAATTATGAATTCATTTGAACCAGCCCTATTCCGCAAAACCATAAAGTTCTCAACACCTCAAATACTCTAATATTCAAGAAATTACCGTGTCCTTTGAAAAAATCAGCTTCAGGCATTAAATTTTCAACGAAAAGTTGTAAAATATAGCCATCTGTCACGTCAACCAAAACGTTAAAGGAATGCGCCAGTACAAGTGGTATTGGTGAGATGCAGTCAAATGGAGCCATATGTTTGTTTCTAGACGCAATTCGACGAATGCGATAGACGGATGTGAGATAATATGCATGTGCATGCTCTGTGCTCTCATTACTATAGTGTAGAGTTATAAGTAGTCAATATTAATTTAACAACTAGGTTTCAAAGTCTCCAAGCACTCAGTTTTTATTTCGTCGTGTGCATGATAAATGGTGGTAACGTGGTAGTTTGCCGACTTCAACAATGAAGAGAATTCTTTCCGTGGCCAAACCCTATTTAGTGATTAAATTGTTTATCCCATTACAACCTTGCCACATGTTGAAATGGCTGGAATCCGTGCAAGTGCTGCTACCTGGAGTCCAGCCTAGTTGTTGAGGTAGAAGAAGATTATGCCCACCGAATAATACGTTGTATCTCGATATTGTGAGCATTTTCCACTGCATCACTATCATCGCTGAGCTCTATCACGATCAAGTGGATACATTTAGCATGTGGATCCGACGTGAAGTTATTTCCGCTAAGATCTGGTGGAGAACGATGGCCACTACGACTTTGTTCTCTCGTGCTTATGCTTTTCGGCTGTTTATTTCGTAGCACAAACCATTTCTACTAGGCTATTTCTAATCGAATGGTAGTTTTTCAACTACTGATATTACACCATGTATTGGCTGAGAAAAGCTCCTCTCTACATATTAAGACTCACAAAACAGCTCTAGTTTGTTTATTCTACAGCGAAACCACTGCTAGCGAAGAGCGTGGTGGGATATCTTCTACCAAAGAGACCTACTAGGGATTTTTAACTTCAGTGTAAATGTTGTTGAATACTGTCTCTCTAAACTCCTAGGACAGTAGTACTAGAGCCTGGATTGGTGGTGGGAGTGAGTTGCTCCAAGACAAGTCTGGTACCAATTACCTAACCATACACGTAAGATAGATTAAACGAACACATGTAAAAAAAATGCCGTGAGATCTCAACCCCCAAAAGTTCTCTCTCCACGTTCTGAAGAAGTCAAAAGCACCGAGACTTTAGCCACTTAGGCTCAGAGAAAGTGTTAACAACCCCTTATCAGTTCATAAAAAAACAGCTTGTAAGTAGAAAAATGCTTAATAACGCCATGGTTGGTTAAATTCAAATCATACCAATTGCTTGTTTAAAGTTGAGCCGCCAAATTACTTTTAAGCATATTAAGTCAAACGCAATTTAACGTTTACGCGCTAAATTATTTCCGAGTATGTTGAGCCAAACGAAACTCATATTGTCGGGAATGGCTGAGAAAACAACATGGAACACAAAAGCACTTATATACATACCTGTCAGTCGCTCAGTTGTACTCGTTGTAATTAGGGAAAATTGTTCTCGGCAAAGGCTTAAAAGATATTGCGATGACTTGTTTGCCAAATGGTGAAGAGTAAATGCTATCAATAACATAATCAAAGGACTCGCATAACGAGTTTCGCCTTCAGAAGATCCTAAAATCGACAGCGATTCAGTTAAGGATCTCGTGAAAATAGAGCAAAAAATTAAAGTTCAAATTTAAGAAAGAAGAACCAACCATAGGTCTCAGCGACAGCGGTGAAGTCTTTAAATGCGCCAATTACAATTTCTTCATGAACACAGTGAGCAAACTCTGTTCGAAATTCCGTTGGAGAGAGTGTAGAAAATGTTACGTCGCTAGCAATAAAGAGAAGTAGATTGGCTAATGCGGTCTGCAATAGTGCAAAAAAAATATATCACGTCCCTCACACTAAGTAGAAGTAGATGGTCAATATAGTCAATAAACATCAGCTCCTCGTGTATGATCATCAAAAATAGCTCAAAAGAACACTGAAAAACTAAAATTTGGTCTCTAAAGGAGTATTTAATCTCGTAAACAAACGCGTCCTTCAACACAGCGTAGCATATGGTTGGTACAAAAAGTATGCCTGATTTTGTCACCATGAAATTCACAAGTACATTCTGTAAAAATAATTTACTCATACTGACACTGTATCTCCTTGTAAAGCTTATTTATTGCTCACTAATTTGCCAAATTGAGACATTGTCAAGAAAGAGTTAACGATGACTTCAGGCGCTTTAAATGATGTCATCAAAACATGATAATTGCATCATTTTGCTTGATCTTCATAAGGATTTGGAAATAAAGTAGCGGTAGCAAGGAAACAAAAACTATTTGAAGTGTTGTAGAAGAACCCAATACGCACAATTCAACAGTTTTTAGTAATTTCGTAAGCAATTAAAGAGCGTAAAAACTTGATAAATCCCTGCCACGCGGACTGAGTGAACAGCATAAGATCACCGCTGGCAAAACTGCAATTCGCATCTTTCACACAACGAAAACGAAATAATGTCGTGAAATCAACGAAATAAAAAAAATCCAGCACTGCTTCCAGAAGCGGCAAACATGAAACCTCGGACCTATACGAAGGCCTACTTAACAGACTCCTCGTTAACTAACAGTCGACTTTTTAAAATATCTCGACAAATGAAATCTGAAAAATTTTCCAATAAAAAAACCGTTACTACAAATTCCTTGGAATGAATCGTCGTTTATAAAACTTCAGCATTTTATACCACTGGAATAAATAAACACGGAAGTATTTGATAAAAATGTGCACATCCTAGATATTTTTGAAAAATGAAGTTGTATTTGAGGCTCATTCAATCAATGGAAACCAACACAAGCAAGCTAAGCAAACTAAGAAAATTTCACATTCCTTACTCTGATTTCCTAGCACATTTATTATATTTTATGATAGCGATCATTAGTATTATATTCTCTAGCCTCGCAATGCTTTACCGCCCCATTATGGCTGGGAGGCGTTCCTGGGTTCTTGGGTATTGGATTGCGATGTAGAACGAAGAGTTCAATCACCAGCACGATCTTCCAACCTGAGGAGTTCGGTGTTTCCACTGGGAAGCCCAGCTAAAAGTAAACCAGTACCAAGATCCACCACCGTCCTTGTATCAAACTAGTTCCATGCTAGCAAATCCGCCTATGATCCACAAGGTAAGCGACTGCCTGTGAGCGATGGCGACCTAGGGTAGACTTTGGTTAGGCTGACTTCGGAGCTTCAGGGAACTATAATGGCTAAGCCAGCAAGACTGCGAAAAATGGTAATTATGCAGGGGGTAGCACATTCATTGAAGACGAGGCTTCCAAGTATCCAAGTAAGTAACTATTCTCTGGCATTGGCAGTATTTATTAACCATGCGTTGTACATATTATGAATATGCTTGACATTGATTTTTGAAATCTTAAAAAACAGCATAACTATGGCTCGGGGGACTCACCTTCACCTGAAAAACGAACGACTGTTCAAGTTTTGCTGTTAGAGAGGAAAGGTCGACATTTTTGGAGATCAGCGACTGACGAGTCTATGAGAATTCAATAAAATAAGCAACTGATTGACAACACCACCCAACTGCCAGTACCTCTTGCATAACTAATTTGATTTCTTCCATAATATATTTTCGAGAAATCAGAACTTCATGTTTTGATACATCGCGAATCAAAGCGATTGTACATGTGGAGCAATCCAGCCCTGAACAAAAATTACCAATCAATATACTTTAAATGCTCCGAGTAGAATATTAGCAGACAGAAGCAGCACTCTCAGGTTGCCACCATAAACAATCAAAGGCCCTTGTGGCAAAGAGATTATCACCTCGTTACAACTCTGCTTTTGATGTTCTGGAGGTGTTAACGTTAGTTTACTCCTATTTGTGCCTCATTATTGAAATATGGTGATTGAATCGTAAGAATTTCACACTTGGACAACCAGATACACACTACAGTCTTACCATTGGATGGGTCAACTGATTACTTTTCAATTTGAAAAGGGGAAAATTTATAGATAAATTGAGGATACCAGGCACATTTTGGGAACTACGGATTAAAAGAGGAACAAGTGCTAAATCCCTTGTGAAAATTTGAGGACAATATGGCAAACTGAAAATTAATTGCTGCTTATTCAGAAGCTCACCATGAATCACTTGTTTGCACGTAGACACTTTCCTAAAATACCGATCCAGCGCACGCACCACTATTGGACAATCTTTCGGATCAGATGAAGAAAGGAATAAATCAGACACAATGTCGTGAAATAAAGCGAGCTGCCTCTAAGTTCTCGAGGTTTAAATGCTGTTAAAATCCTACAGTAGTAAGTGGGTAAATCTTTGCAACATAAAGGTAGAAACCAACAGATAAAAAACAACAGTGAAGTAAACCAACTCGCAACATTTCTAACAAGCAATCTGATGAAGACGGAAACAAACGTTCATGAAGAGTCGCAAGAAGAGCAAGATTCGGTATGAATGACTCACAACCCCTAAAACGGCTGGTGTAGAATACTAAACGATGATGCCAAGATTTTACTACAAAGAAAGATGAAATTAAGTTGAGAACTAACTTGTCAACTAGATCTAAGACATCCGCTGGATCGCTTTGAAGCTGCTTTAGGTCGTTTTGTAACGATAATTCCGACGATTTTAGCAGTAAACGCTGGACCTTAACCATGCGTATCAAATGGCTTCATGCCTTTGTAAATAAGTAGACTACAGAGCACTTTTACTAAAACTTATTACAGAAGAGAAAAACCTCTTCAGGATCGTTTCCAAGTTTAATGAGTAATCCTATAGCACCAGCAACACCATCAATATCATCAGTACACCGATCAATCGATTTTATTAACTGAATTCCAAATCTAAACAGAGAGCATGGATCTAACTTATTGGACGAGTCATACCTGTTTTTCAGTTTCGAAAATTATTTGGTCGACTTTGCCTTGGATTTCACAAATATTTTTCATGTCAGCATACTTACTCAGACCTTTTTGAGCTAATAAATATAATCTCACAACGTCATTATAGTTCCCTTCGTCGAAACAGATCTGAATGACAATGATGATGTTAAACACACAGATACACAATATTATAATAAATTTTATTCACCATGAAACTCGCCTAAAAGAAGAAGGCTCATAAAAACAAGGACCACTCCAACTAACCTGAAGAATACTTGGTAGTTCAAAAAGAGATTGCAGATTTTTGACCACTTTATAAGAGCTGCCCAACTGAGCTACCCCTTCCCGCCTCGCTCCAAGAACGGAACCTAATTCACCAATTAACTCGGATATGTTTTTCATATTTGTACTAAGTGACTCCATTTCCTAAAAAGTCAAAAATAGAGAGAAAATAGTCGACAACTGTGGTTCAAACTTAAACGAAAGACGAAGGGCACAGGGACGCACGCTGTCTAGGAGATTAAATTCGTCCTGAATCTTTCTCACAGTACTTGTAGCTGTTAAGAACTTGTTGTAATTCTCGTATACGAGTTGATGGACATCGGAATCCAAACGGCGCACCTTAAACCAGAATTAAAATGCTTCCCGTTTAGACCACAGAAACCAAACAACGAAAAATAAGCTAACGTTATGTCATGTATAAAGTATAATTGTGGGAGCAAAACTCACTGATGCTACCATTTCCTCCTCTTCCTTAACCAATTCATCAAGGTTCTTCTCTTTAAGCTGGGAACTTAAGTAAGCGTCGACATCAAAATCCGGCGAGGTCAAGTCCAACACACTAACTTTTTGTGACATCAAGTCTATTATTGACACTTGACTCTAGACGTAGAAACAAGGCAATCTAGAAGATCACTCGAATACAACAGTTTAGGAAACATCAAATACAAATCTGAAAATGCTCGCCTTGCTAAAAACAAGAACATCTTACAGTTAACAACACTCAACGACTCATCTACTTAGATGGGAGTCAGTTGGCGAGAGTCATATAGGCTTCATATGGGCTGCATCCAGCATAAATGCGCGACGCTTATTGAAAAATTACTACGAAAAGAAAAGCAGGCTCCATGTTATCATAGCGTAATGCGCATCGGTTTTGAAAAATAATGGTTTTACTGCTTTTGGACCTCAACGACATAGAGGAGAAGATGAAATAAATGCACATAACCATGACGGCAACCCAAAAAACCTGTAGTGGTATGAACTCTCTACAAAAATTTTTAAAAAAACGAACCAACCTTTTAATGCAATTATAAACGCTTCTCATTGTTGTAGGCAACTAACTACAGTGATCTTATGGCATCATCTAACTAAGCAGTGAAGTTCTGCATTTACTCTGAATGTAATGAATGAACCTCCCAACGGTTTGCCGCCTCATCGTGGCTGGGAGGTGTTCCTGGGTGTCGGACTGCGATGTACAGCAGAGGGATTCGTTCCGCACTCCCGGCAAGGTCTCCCATGCTTAGGAGTCTGGCGTTTCCATCAGGAAGTCTAGCTAGGAGTAAACCAATACCAGTACCAGGAACCGGCACCGTCCTGGTATCAAAGCCGCATGGTGACAAATCACCGTCTAATCCACAAAGGCTGCGACTGCCCATGGTGGTGAAATAGAATAGATTATCATCCACATCTACTCGCACATTGATCGCCATATCTCATAGAGGACTAGTTGGAAAAAATCCAAAATATAACAAGATATATCATGTCATTTCAGGTATCAGCGAAGTATAATACAAGCATTTACGACATTACACGAATCCTTATTATCTAGCAACTGCAAAATTCGGAAATGTTGCGTTCGAGAACTAAGCAAGTGCACTATGTCGACACACCGGTGCTACTTCTAAAGTGGTGACGAAACATAGCTGAAGTTAGAGAAGCAATGGAACTCGATCCAGAGAAGGACAAGGTCACACCGGCATCCCTTCGCTCTTCGACTGGTAGTTGTCAGTGCGAGTATAACTCCACATACGCTGTTCCAAAGATGATTCGATGTCGCCGATGATGACCTGTGTCAGACAACAATTCTGTACATCCGACGGTTTTTTTTAAAAGTTCGCATATGTCGATACTTGGATTGCTACTACTGAAAGACACGTGTTGAGCGAAAAATCGAAGAACGGTACGTGTGTGCCATAAATTATCCTCAAGGATGTAAACAAGCACCTTTTGTGTTCACACGCAAAGCTATGACATAATTGCAGGCATCCATATATACTGAAATGTCGACTGAAACTTGAAACACGAAGACAGAAGAAGATGTCGATCATCGAAGGATCAGAGCCTTGATGTGACAACGGCAGTACAATCAGTAATCAAAGCTTCAATAAACGAACCTTATAACAACCTCGTGATAGCTTAAGCATCTAAGAAAACAACCGAAAAAACCACAAGATTGCTGAGATATGAGCAAAGCTTGAAATTGAAGTTATGACAATGTGACTAATCAAAGCGTTAAAAAATTGAACAATGATGAGGAATTCGATGACGCGTAAGAAGCAATGGTCATCGAGGATTACGATCCAGGACGTGTTCTACGTAGTTCAACCGAAATGATGTACACGAAAGATGGTTTCCTTTATTTGAGCACCTCACAATGTTACATTCGGTTAGCCAGCAGAGTCAAGAACTGGCACGTTCGATCTTCTTCTAGATAAGAAGTATAAAGTATGGTGTCGATGTTTTAGACGATAACGTTCTGCATTACGACCAAACATTATAAAATTCGTCATACTCTGCTGGTATTAATGTTGCACAGCGGGCGAATTGGAGCGGAGGGGAATGTCATCGGAAGTACGGTGCTGTAGGTAGTTAGGATTTTGAGTAGTTCTTTTTGAAACCTCATCCTATTAAGAGTTTCAAGCTTTTATCTGTGCATTTACAACGAGTTAAATCGGGTGCTTGGAAGTGGTTTTCTGGAGGGAAAGCGTTACGTATGTCTACCGTCAGTCCTTTTTGTACTATTTGGTGATCACTGCGAAGGGACATGTTAACGCATCCAACAATGCAGATTTACATTACTGTTGTTTACTATATGACCGAGCATCACGTGTGTCACACTGTGCGAGTCTATGAACGTGCATTCGATTCGCTTCCTCGCATCCACAATCCACGAGGTCTTCAAACATTTTTGCATGTAGTTCGGCTGCTGCTTGAGGGTTTCCCTGCCTTTATCGCGAATGTTGTTGAAATCTGGTAGGGGCGAAGCTTCTTGGAGTGCTGAAGTAGCCGTGCTAGGACATTCCCACGTAGTTGGAGGGAGCCAGCTTGCCACAGATAAGTCTAGTACAAATTTCACGACCTCGGAATGAAGAAAGGCTTAATTGGCTCGGGGCTTCGCCGAATCAGCAATGGGTACGTTGAGCAATCTATGTAATGAAGAGGATCACAACCACTACCCCTATTCCAAAAATGCAACTCATATCATAGTTTGAATCTAGACTTGAAAGGAGCGATAAAATGAGTACAGAAGCGTCAACAACGAAAGTGCCGCTATAATGTCAAGGTTCATAACAGTGGGATGTTTCAAACGTATCTCATGATTCAGCAAAGAAGTACAAATTCAAAACATGCCTGTTAATGCAGGACGTAGAGGTGTTCCGCGGATATGAATAACGTGACTGTATTCTGCTCCTTACGAGAGCCTCTAACCATTGCGCTATACGCGACCCTCGGTTTTTTTTTAACATCAAAGCTGACTTAAGGAAGATAACACCAGCAAGAAGCGATTTCAAGACACTAGTTGTAATCATAGCATCACAAGGACTATTAAGCATAATGTGTAATATTTCCAAAACTTTAACAATTTAGCTTTGCTGAAATATCTGCCCTCCCAACGGTTTACCGCCTCATCGTGGCTGGGAGGTGTTCCTGGGTGTCGCACTTCTACGTACAGCGGTGGATTCATCCCATGGCAGGGTCTCCGAAGCTAAGAAAGAGTCCGGCGTTTCCATCGGGAAGCCTAGTTAAGAGTAAACCAACACCAGGATCCACCACCGTGCTGGTATTAAAGTCGCTTGGTGGCAAATCTCCCTGTGATCCACAACGGCTGCGACTACCTGTGATGGCGAAGACCTGAGGTAATTTCGGCCAGACTGACCTTGGGATTCCAGGGAACCAAGATGGCTTAACCAGCAAATCTCCGAAAAATGGATATTATGCTGGAGCCCGCAGAACCATTGAGGACGGGCCATTCAAGTAACAAGTAAGCAAGGACTATTTGCCGTCTAGCGAATTATGTCAAATACATTACTTATTTGAACATTTAGATGATCCATGTTCACGACATATGCGAATCTCTAGTATAATAGTGGGCACTCGTCTTGGTCTTCGTCTAAATTGGTTAAACCTGCTGGAAGAACGCTTGAAGCAACCTATTTTCTGATTGTAGCGCGGTGTCGAATGGTGCATTAACGCTCTGGCAAAGGTGATACAGATTTCAACACTTCCAGCCAGACATGTTAGCCCGTTACCCCCCGAAAGGGTCATAAGTAGACTGTTCGATGCCCATCGCAGACACCTGCGGTCCGAATTTTTGTAAAAATCTCACCATCATTGTGGGTATTACATGAATTACATGAGCGGACAGTAAATAAAAAAGCGATTACATTGTTATTTATACTACAGCTTCAGCTTAACTGGGTTCAATCCCGATTTGTGCCCCAGATCAATCCGGCCGACGGGTGATTGCTAATAGCACCTATAAAACACGACTGAGAGAAAGAGGGAACTAAGGACACTCATGATGTGATGAGGAACACGTTAGCCCTCGGTAAGGGTGATAACGAGGTTCGATCCCCGCCGCAGACGCTTGTGGTCCAGGTGAACCTGTCACCACGTAGAGGAATGTTGTCAATTTCGTTGATTCCTACTCAAATATCGTTGATTTCAAATTCACTCGTTGATTTTCTCAACCGTCCTTATGAAAACGAATTATGTATGTTTCCTCTCATTCACGACCGTGCTGATTCTTCGACAACTGATGACAGTCTCTCCATTGGTGCAGTAGTCCGGAAGCTTAGAAGTTCAAAGTTCAGATTTCCACAGATTTATGAGAGAGATTTTGCTCTATGATCTCAAGGCTATATAAAGCTTCATAACACAACCCTTACGCTATAAATTTGTTTGAAATCGAAACGTTCAAGGAAAAAAAGCAAAACAAACAAACGCAGCAGCCGCAAACACCAACGACATAGTGGTGGGAATCATCTTGTCCCGCTGAACGAAATCGCACTCGTTCAATTGATCTAACAAGGGTTCCTAGGCTATAGTAAATCAGAATTTCATCTCGGTAGATGAAGAATGCTTCTTTCTGTTTTTCAGAAATTTGCAAACTCGAATGGTATTTATTCTAATTACTAAATTCCACTGCGAGTCCAGGTATATGGGCTGAACTCTGAAAGTAGCCATTATTTTCCTATCTTACGAATTTATATGGATGCACACGGTCGTGCATAAGTTACGTACAATCAGCTCGAAGAAGCTATTTTTAAATAAAAGCGGTTCTATAAAATTGTTGGCTACGACGACATGGGCTAACGGAAGTGAATATGGAGTCAAAGATTTGGGAATGAAAGACCAGATTGACCAGAAATGGGAACCCTGCTGCTACTGTCAATAGTTTTCGACGAAATTCATTCTTGGGAAAGAAGATGGCAACTGGACGTCATGAACATTAGCCTTATGACACAGCTGATGTGAAAATTGATCACACCGCCACTATCACTCAATCAAGAACTCCAAAGCACATCCTCACCTAAGCTTGAGAAGAAAAGATATCTGGGAATTGATCGCACTTAACACGCGTGATAATAAAGTCAGAGTGAGTTCGGAGAAAGAAAGAAACAGCTTGAAGAAATGCCATCGGAACATTTGCGAATGTAAAATATGAAAGCATAAAGTGACTGGTAATGATCGGATCTTTGTAGGGCTCTCTCGGCATACAACTCGAAGCCCACGCAACGATTTGCGATGGCCGACCAATGTATTTACCAGTGTTTTTGTCTTCCCAGACAACTCTGGTGCCAATTTGCTGACTCCGGGGAAATGGGTGGCATGATCAGACCAAGGCGCGGGATCGAATTAACCTCTGCGTGTGTAACGCAACTATTGCGCCACGCACACCTTTCGCGACTATGTTATAATAATCCGCTGTTAAACCTGATGAACGAATACAGAATGAATGAACTAACACAAGGTTCGTATAAAGGTTTTATTCGGCTAACTTCTCTCTCGTACTGATCCGCGTCGATGATCCAGAAGTGGTCGATGTTGTGTTGTTGACATTTTGGAATTGAAGATCATACCGGATGGTTGGAATCGACCGACACTTGTCCTGTATGAAAGAGCACAGCCAAGTGGAGTTCTTCAAGCCCATTCGAGCGGTGTTCCCATAGCAATCTCGTGTTAGCTCAGTTATGTGAAGAGTTATTGATTATTGTTACTGAGGTTTAGCGAGAGTCGGTTTTGAAAAGATACGGTTATTGCCACCTCCAGTTGTGACAAGAAATTGATTAAAAAAATCACTCTACTCAAATGTGTAATGGTCCAAAAATAGCGCACCAGACGCAAAAAATCTGTTCGAAGAAACCACTCCGAATTCCTACCCTCCGAAAACCGAGCTGTGGTGTTTTGAACAGCTAGCCGTGAAGTACATGCACGTTTACTTCATGCTTTAGGTGGGAAATCGTTCGACACCAAAGGATAGGAATGACAGATTCGAAACGCGTCCTATGTTATCACTGGCCAATGACGTATTTTATCCCGCACGAGGGCTGTGACCTACTGTTATCACTAAAGATCGGTGCAATAAAGCCAGAAAATGCATATATGGTGGACAATCATTAATGTCTCTGTTTTGTTGATGAGATCATCATTTTCTCAACGAACACAGGTGGAACGGAAGCCGTGGAAATGGTGTTCAATGGAGCGATAAAAAGATGAAAAGCGCATAAAGAATAAAGCGTTTAGCGTTAATTAATCCTTGAGAGATGAGCCATGCATTCGACGTCATCATGTATCGTAGAGGTGATTGAATGCATACTTGACCTATATTGTGACTTTTGGTGATGGCTTGCGGATAAGTCAAGTTAGTGTTTTTATCAGTGTTTCTATCCAGATAACAGACATTTAACATTTCTTCAAATAGGAACGCCTGAGGTAATTGGCAAACAGCGAGCTTCACGTACGGACATTGCGCTAGTCTGAACCTCCACCACGCTCTCCTCCATCCCACGTGGGAACGGCTTGGCTCGGGCATCTTCAAAATTTCGAGGAGAATCGACTCGACCAACATTCCACGAAATGTGTGAAGAAGAAATCCTCAAGCAGCAGCTCAAAGAACATGCGAAATGTTGGAAGGCCTTCTTGGACGATGAATGCGAAGAAAACGAATCGAATGCAAGCAGAGCTGAGATCTGCGTAGTAGATGTGACGACGGGTAACGTAAAATGCGAAAAAAAAACCATCCCAGTTCGGGCACGAGTAGCCCAGTGGTTGGAGGTGGTCTGTGATACAGATCTACGGAGCGTCTCGATTCCGCGCACAGGACTCAGCGAGACCACCATTCCGCTAAGTTCGGAAAATTGGTACCAGACCTATCGGTTAATATAAGCACACTGACTTTAATCATCTTTGGGCCACAGTGAATTATTTAAGTGGCCAGGTACGCATTCGATCGCCTGTACGACGCTATGAATGAAGTCAAATGCACGGTCGCATGTCTTAGGATCTGATCAACGTCGAACGCTCTGCTAAAACTTTACGTCATCGTCCATATGAGTTTCTCAGTCGCCGTTTCTAGTCCTTAAACGTAAGCTGTGAATTTAATATTACTCATTGTTCTAACAAGGAACAATCAATTCCTATTCATATTGCATTGCTCTGAGACATTCGTATTCGATTCATGAATGTCGCTCTGTGGAAGTGAACACTGAGCTTTTCTAAACTACCAAGACAATGCGGCACCTACTAAGGAACGGACAGCTGAGCATCCTACTCTTAATCGATAAATCCGTTCCACATTTTTAGATTCTCCGTAGCTGGCCGTGAGAATTCCATCTTTTCTCGTAGTGCTCACCAATAATGGTACCTAAGAGAAACCTATCTTCCAGAATTCGACGCATGTCTACATTCGATCGACCGATTACGGCTGCTGTGAATTTGAAGTCTCGGCGTTTGGGCGCGGAAGCGGCGTGGTTCGAACGTTCCCGCCACGCCCAACTGGTGGCAATTCCTGTTCTCTGCTCACTACTCGCTCACCTGGTAAGTACTAACTTCTTCCGCTTGTTCCACTAGTTGACCCATTCTACATAGAAACATTCGGTGTCCTATCATCCAGTATGGGCAGTTCAAAATTTTGTGGTAATGAACAAATTTGCTAAGTAGTTATTCAAAGCTTGTGTGGTATTCGCCACTTGATTTGTTCACCGTTCCGCGTTGTTTGTTATTCAGCTCTGAGTATTTCTCGTGTTCTTTCATTGTTTCTTCAGAGCTTTTTTGTTACAGTTCGTGATCAACAACTTAGTAGAAGTACTACTATGTTGTTTTAGCATTATTAGGTGTCTGATAGGATAGCATAGTACGTTGGTTTCAGTAGATTGCTAGGGCCATCAGGCTTATTGTTCCTTCGCATCGGCTCCTCTTCACAAGTAATAAATCACAAGTAAATCTTTATAGTTTTTTATATTATATTGTATTATATTATATTACATATATATATATATATATATGCCTACTAGATATCTGAGATCGGTCAAAAGCCGTGAAGTTTGTCACTTAAGAGAGGAGTTATGTGCTTGTAACATAAGGCTTTGCGTTCTTTTTCCCACAAATTTATCAGTAAGTGGGTTATCTTCAAGGTTTACATAAGTATCAGTATAGTTTGGAAATGTACAGTTCGTGCTTCGGTAATCAAGTGGGTGATCCAGAAATCGTAGCAAAAGACATAGCCGATAATCCGACTTCCCTACTCTCAGTTGAATCGACTTGAAATTTCTATACGTGGAACTTGTACTTCTAGGACACTAGGTCGTGGAGCAGTTCAACAGTTGGCCCTGATACGATGGAGCCTACTGATGTCGATGAGGTCCTCGAAGCGGATCAGGGACTGAAAGCTGCTCCAACTTTCGAGGTAGTTATAATTGATTCAAACGAGTATTTTATACTTTTAAATGGAGAAAGGTTAAGTTGGATTTATAAGAGTGGCATTCATGTTTTACGAAATGAAAGCCAATTTTGAGTGCTCTCCCAATATTTAGAATTAAGGTTGAGAATTGCCGATGAACTACCGTTGTATATTACGCTGGTGTCTTTGCATATTACGGCTTGCATAATTACTTACTTGGATTCTTGGACAACCCGTCTTCACTGGTTGTGCGGGTCCCAGCATATTCTCCATTTTAGGAGTTTAGCCATTATATTTCCCTAAAGTCCCGAGGTTAGCCTGGCCAACGTTTGCCTCAGGTCGTCACCACCACAGGCAGTCGCCGCCCTTGTAGATCAGAGGGAGATTTGCCAAGCGACTAGTTTGATACCAGGACGGTAGTGGATCCTGGTACTGGTTTACTCTTAGCTGGGGTTCCTGATAGAAATACCGGACTCCTTGTTAGCTTGAGAGACTTTGCCAGTGAAATGAATCTCTCCGCTGTATGTCGCAGCCCGAGGAACACCTCCCAGCCGCGATGAGGCCGTAAACCGTTAAGAGGATAGCTTGCATAACTGCTGCAAACTCTTTAATGACGGTCATTTGTGATACTTTACATAATTAAAAGTGGAGTGTACCAATGATTTACCTTTTAGCTTTCTAATGAAGCAAGCGATGGTTCAGTGGAGGTGGAACTTCTTGAATACCAAAATGAGGTATGTAGCTTTAATTCTAGATAATTAATAACCTATCCTGCCACGGAAATCCAGTTCAGATCCCACCTCCTGATGACGGATTTCTTCACATATGTGCGGCAATTGATCCCAACATGAGTGAGACGTTGAGAGATAACGTTTGGATGCAAGTCTGTACTATGAGCGAAAAAGTGGATTTGGATGTGCGTTCACAAGTCTTACTAGTTTATGGACCTAACCCTTGCGTATTTTATGCAGTCTTTTTTCGAATCTCGACTGAGGTTCATCTTCTACTTAATTCATGTCTCACTGTGATTTACCTTATGGTTATAAGAAGACATAATTTAAGCCAGTCTTGAAAATGAGGTGTCAATTCATATAAAGGTAACGTACTTTTGGGAGTGTATGTGAACATATCTCGTTTTCTTAGGATCCACTGCAACACCCTTCATTCAGTGGTCAATTCAGTACGAACTCTCCGGATTTCCGATACGGTTCCTTTTAGTTGCTCGCTGCTAGATTTATTTCGTTCGTCATTGTCACGATTACTCTCTTCCTTTAGTTCATAGATTGCTTCTTCAACCATGCTTCTTCTACCACCTATGCAGAGCAGAACACATGCGGCTAAATTGTTATCCCATGTTTTGGCTGCTTGATTAGGAAGAACTGTGAGTAAATGTATGAAGAAACCTGATTAGGCAACTCATCACTGTTATCAGCTGCTATAAAGATGGGAGACACTACACTAAAGAGCGCGGGAGGTGAAGTGGTTGGAGATGCTGTGCCGTTATACTTTCATTATCGTTGGTTCGACCGTGCTTTTGGTGAACAAGGCCTCCCTTCTTCCTGGGTCGGGAAGGCGGTCCTAGATCTGTCTGTCAAAGCTCTATCCCGTCCACAAAGGCCAGCGATTGGGTGCATTTCTAGAGGCTCTCTTCTAGGACTACACCAGGATCCTAGGGAGAATCAAACTTGGTCAGCATTCAACAGCATTCGTGAAGAAAACAAATTCCTCAGGTGACAGCCAAACACGTGCTCAATCCAAGAATCTTCGTGGACGAATAATTCAAGGTAAGGAAAGAAGTGCTTGGTTCCTTACGTTGTTTGGAGTCGGAACTGATGAGTAAATGCTGCAAATTCATTTTTTTTTTCGTGTTATCCATATTCTTTGTATGGTCCAGTTGTATATACATCTAAGTTCCCGACGATTCGAGTACGGTGCAGTTCACATATTTAAGCACAGTCACGTCGTGCATACAGAAGATAGCAATCCAGAAGCGTTTCACATAGACTCTATTTTATTTGCTGCCACATTCTTCAACGACATCCTTCATATTTTAAATTTGATTACGGTTTCAGACACCATTGTTGAAATTGTGTTGAAGAGGAAATAAAAAAAAGAGGTAGAGGAAATAAATTAGTCTACGTATACGCATATCGTCGTTCCTTTCAAATGACTTTTCGCATGTTCTACATCTTCACCGAATGCTTTAGGTGGAAGAGATGGGCTCTAAGGGTTCTCTTTGCAGCAGAAAGATGAGAAGAAGCGCATTTAAATTGAATTAGGATGAGTTTCACACTAGCAACTTGTTGATAAGCACGATTCTGTATCTACTATGGTTGAAAGAATGTGGATTAGTCGAAATGTTCGACTCTGACAACTGTCTGCCTGGATTCTCTTGCTCTATTCTGTTAGAGAAATGAGGAAGTATATATTAATATGACGCTTTTTATTCCAGGATTTTTTAAGAGGAATTGAATGGGAGCACTGGTTTATCTCGGTTTGAGTGAACTAATTTTCCAATTTCTCGATGATGGCGTTTTTAAGCTTCTTCAGCTATACCGTTCATTGTAGATAAGTATCACACTGCACCACTTGCACGGACTGCAGGAGTTGTTGGTATAGACGAAGCAGGGTTTGTACTGCAGACTACAGGGTATATCGAAATCATCAGCTTGAGTGATGGAACAGAAGATGGGTTATTTCGTTTAATGCTTCTCGACCGCGGTTGTCACTGAAAGCCTTGGATTGCTGTGATAGTTCATACGTCTTCGCCACATGCTGTCGTCCATTTTTGTGGATCTGGAGCAGCTCTTCACAATTATATTTTTACCATTTTGCCCATCCAGGAGAGATTTAATAGACTTTAGCAGGGCCTGAACCAACAACTACGTTTGTGTTGCATAGCACTTTTTGCCCCTGCGCTGCACTGTGCTTGCTTTTCAGTTAGGCAGAACAAAATTTACTTTCCTAAAAAATCTGTTGCGTAATGCGGCAGTTTTCGTTTTACCTACGTACGGATCATAGTTTTGTTAAAATCAAAGACAATTTCTGCAAGTTTAAATTGTATTTATGTTATAGGACGAGATTATAGCTTACGTTGCTTGTGCTTTCTACTGTGTCATGCTGGAAACAGAGAAGTTCCAGCAGCGACCATTTCCTTATTCAATGTTAACTATTTTAAAGATCTGTAGCGTCAGGTGAAACCCAGATTTGCTAGATTCTTTACAGTTATTTATCTTCAGGAGTTCATGTTCCTTTTTAAGTGTTATGGAGTTCTTCGATAAGTTGAGTCGGTGGATAGATATTGCTACATCATCGAAGAAAATTTTAGAGCATTCCGTTAAGATTCAGGTCAGTAACTCACTCGAAAGACCAGCTTTCTATAAACCTCGACGTAGTTAGTTGGTTTTATTAATATGATCGTATAGACTGATCTTCTTCAGCCGACGCGAGGTTGGTATAGGTCTTCGTTGTCGTTGCTGTTGTTGCTATTGTTCTTGTTTGTCGATGGCTGATGTTTCGGCGATTTCGCCTTCCTCAGAGTCGTGATGTTACGAGTGGGACCTATCGTGCTGTTACTGACTCCCGTTCGTAACAGCACGGCTCTGAGGAAGCCAAAATCGCCGGAACGTCAGCCATCGACCAACAAGAACAACAGCAACAACAACAACAACGACAACGAGGGTCTATACCAACCTCGTTTCAGCTAAAGAAGATCAGTTTGTATGATCATATAAATAAATATATCAGTAACTCACTATTACCACAATACGGTATTTTGAAATTCTATAAATTGCTCTTGTATGCTCAAGTATTTTCACCAGTGTAGTTTTTTGTTTTCTGCTTCACCTCGTAATTGTATCAATAACGAATAATAATAATCAGTAAGTAATCTGTTGCTTTTAAGTCGTCGCTAGCCGTTTCGGTAGTCATCTACAAGAAATTCCTACCTATTTTTCGAAGCCTTTTCCAATTTGTTGGTAGAGATTCGGACATGCCATTCGACTCCAGTCATTTATTTTCACTTATGTGGTTAATTGTTACAATCATGAAAAGTGAGTTTTTTTTACTAGTTTAGATATTTACTTAAGGTGTAGTTCTGCCTTTACAGAGTCGTTACCGTCAGAGGATCTCTTGACTACCTTTCATTTATTATTATGCGTCACTGAATGGGTGTACAGAGATCTTTGTTTCCATGGTTGTGATGGTCATATTGATCAGCAATCTGGTTAGAAGTGTCTTTAGTGGCATATCTATTATGTGTTCTTTATTGAAAGCATCTTCGACCACTTCAGAGTGTAAGTTTAGTGGAAATTTTGCAGTTACTCATATGATGGAGACCAAGGACGGAGTACGGATCCTCGAGATTCTTTGTCGATCTTTCGATGGCGTACTGATTGACGCGAAACACTTTCGAACCCATTGGTTTAACGTCAAGCGAGCAAGTATATTACCTTGTCTTGACCATGCCGATCTCAATATACTTAAAAATTTCGACAAGTATCTGTAAGTTGGGAATACATCTAACACATTATGTTTAAACTTTATTGATTAATCTCCTATATTTCTAGCACTTCAGTAAACAACATGTACAATGACATGATGTTAATGAAGGGAGAACTTGATGAGCGCATGTTTCTGCCAACTGATGTAGCAAATGTTTTTGATCCTGCATATGACTGTGAGTGATTTTCTAACGTTGTATTTCGAAAACAAAATTAGCCATCTTTTCCTGTTTTTTTAGAACTGTTTTTTGTACTTTAAAAGTCGTTTTAGCATTAGCAGTTGAAATACTGAGACGTGGATCTGCTGAAGGTAGATTTGCTGATGCCGAACTTTTGCTAACAATGTCCACTCAGGTGAGTTCTTGCTCTGCATTCGAAGTAGTTAGTACTTCCAGTTAGGCATTGTGGATGTTATGGTTGCGTAAATTACTTACTGAATGGGGCGGTTACATACTTCATTCACTTTAGTGCTCAATTCTTTTTGTGAAATGTTTATAGTTTAGAACTGCTTAGAGAAACTCGCCGATGTAAAACGTTCGCCGGCCAGAAGCGACGCTAAAAGGTCACAAAATCCCTGTGTAGCGATCTAGCGAGAAGGCTTTGTAGCTTTAATTTCAGTTATGTTATTTCCTCTCAGCAACTTCGACCGCTTTCTTCAATAGTACTGCCAGATACTACGGCTACTTCTGCTCAACGATTAAGTCCCTTAGTTCCAAACGACTTCAAGTTAGAAGGATCATCACTTGAACGATGTTGCTTTCAAATGAGGGATAATCCGCTGTCAGTTATTGCTCTCAGTGCAGAGATGATTGGTGAAAGGTAAATATCTGATTATATATTCCAGTTTCAATTTTCAGCAAACTTGACAGTAGCACTGTACCTGGTGTCATTTGTATCACCTGTTTTTCATCAATAAGCAGACACGAGGTTGTTAATATAGAATTTATTAGAACACAATTGCTGACGTTTCGGCGGTTTCGCCTTCTTCAGAGCCTGGAAAGGTCAAATTGAGATGCGATCTACTCAGCCAAACACTTTCATAACCCTAGCAGATAAAACTTGATAAATCGATTTGTGTTCGCATAAGAAATAGCTTCATTCAAACACCTACCGCTTATTGATGAAAAACATTGAATTATCAATTAATGCCGAGGTTAACAGAAAGTCGGTCATGGGAATTACTACGTGTATCACCTGTGTTTTCCTTGGTCGTCAAATGACTCCAGTGGGCGCCATCAGATCTTCCACTTTACCCTGTCTAGTGCAAGAGCAGTCCAGTAGCTTCTGCTGGCTGTAAGAACTCGTTGAGTATCATACCTTAATTCTAGGGGTTTCCTCTGACCATCGAGTCGGTGGTCTTCCTACAGTACATTTGACATCTTGAGGAATCCAGTCACTAACGGCTCTTGTCCATTGGTTGTCGTTAACACGCACTACGTGTACAGCCCACCTTATCATCGACAGTTGGCGTATAGAACGGAGTTTTTGATTTTTGGTCGTTGACGTAGGCTGAAGCTTCAGATCCCTTCTGTCACTTGAGTGATATGAGAGACTCCTGGTATCGTGCTTTCGACTTCATATTCTATTTGATTGTTCAGAAATAAATGAGAGTATTAAAATGTTTATTGTTTTAATGTATTTTTTTATCAATAAAATATTCTTTGTACCTTGCAATATTATACATCATTGGAAAGCTAATTTTATGCTTTTTTTAAAGCATGTCTTTGTATTCCGTCGGAAGTCAAATATTTTTACCAATTTTGAGCTTTACAATTCTAGAAGTCAAAAATTTTTCGTCTAGTTTTCTTTTTTGAGTTTAAACTTGGTCGCAGTGCTGCAGAGACGGTCCGAACCATTAATGAAGTTTGGAGTGAAACTAATGTTGCTGAATCAACAGTGCGAACATGCTTCCGGAAATTCCAATCTGGTGATTTTGACCTCGAAGACAAGGAAGGCCGCAGACTTCCCAATGAACTTAACGACGGTGAATTGAAGGCACTAGTGGAAGCAAACACGCGAACAACTGTTCAAGATCTTGCAGAACAGCATGATGTAAGCACAGGAACAATTTCCACTCACTTGAATGGCTTATGAAAGGCGACAAAACTCGATAACTAGGTGCGGCACCAACCAAATGATAATCAAAAAGATCGCCGTTTTGATGTGTCTGCTTTTATTTTGCGCACCAAAAACAACCGTTTTCTTGATCGAATTGTAACGAGCGACAAGAAATGAATTCTACATGACAACCGACGACGTCCAGAACTCCAGGTTGGTTTGCGATCAGGTCCCGTAGCACTACCCAAAGCCGAAATTTCACCAAAAAAGGTTACGGCGACCGTTTGGTGGTCTGAAGCCGAGCTTATTCATCACAGTTTTTCAATCCGTGCGAAACAATTACGGCAGAGAAGTATAGCCAACAAGTCGACGCAATGCACCGTAAGCTCCAACAATAACGACAGGTACTATTTAACAGAAATGGATCAATCCTCCACGATAACGCCGTGCCTGACGTGGCGAGTCCAGTGTTGACGAGTTGGGCTACAAAACTTTGCCTCACCCGCTATATTCACCAGGCTTCGTTCTACCGACTTTCACTTTAAGCACTTTGACAATTTTATGAGCGAGAAGTGCTTCATCAATAACGGTAGTACAAAGAATGCCTTCAACGAACTCATCGCTTCCAGAACTCCAGAATTTTGTGTAACTAGAGTAAACAGATTGATTTCTCGTTGGCTAAAATGTGTAGATTTAAATGGTTTTTATTTTATTTAATAAAGATTTATATGAAACAAGTTATGACATTTTAAATAACGTAGTTTGAAGACGCTCATTTATTTCCGAACAACCTAGTATAACGCTGGTTGATCTTTGACCACTTACGTAGCGACCAAGTGTCACGTACGTTTAGCCAGCGAAAATGGTGGAGTGGAAATGGTGGGCACGGAAATAGGTGTTCTTTGTCCTTTCCACTACATCGTCGATGCTCTTGAAAGCTTCACAACCTGCTTGCTTTTCCTCCTGAGCCGCTTCCTCCTACTTAGCTATGGCGCTAAGTCGATCATTATGTTTATTTTCCAACCTAGGTAGACGTAGTCGGAGCATTCTTCAGAGATATTCATTCCATTGAGCGCGAAAAGAAATCCGTTCTTCATGAGCATGGCGATGTCGTTAGCAAAATGAAAACAGTATGATAGTAGGCCGTCGATTCTCTCATGTTATCTCCAGTGTTCGCATGACGTTCTCGAGGGTGGCGGCAAATAATTTTGGCGAGATGGTATCGTCTTGCCTAACCTCTCTTTTGACGTCGATGTTAATGTTGTTGTAGAATGGTGATATTTTCGTTGTGAAATTTTTCTACAGCTTATGAAGAATCTTGATGTATCGAGTAGAGACTCCTTGACTATCAAGGGCTTCCAAGACTGCTTCTATCTCAACTGAATCAAAGGCCTTCTGTAAATGGATGAAAGTGAGACAGAGCGGTCTTTTGTACTCTCGCGATATTTCAGTGAGCCTTGTTGTCGTGTGGATGTGGTCCATCGTACTGAATCCTTTTCAAAACCCTGCTTACTCACATGGGTGTCCTTCGTTCAATGTTCTGTCAATCCTGTTTAGGATAACTCGAGAGAAGAGTTTATGGACGACATGGAGATAACTTGGCTATAGTTGCCGATTTCGTAGAGGTCACCTTTCTTGAACATCAACACAGTTTTGATGATCTTCCATTGAATAAGAACCTTGCATTCGGACAGGTAACTTGAGAAGAACCGAGCCAATGTGGTTATGAGGACTGGTGGAAGGTTCTTCAGGCGTTGAGTTCATATACTGTCAGGAGAAGGTGTTATTCTGTTCTTCACGGACGAAATAGCATCTTGGATTTCGAAAGGGGCAACCGGTGGCACGAAATTTCCATTCTTCTTTATTTCGTGTGAGGGCAGGAGGATGTTGCTATTGAAAAGATCTGAGGTGTAATCGTGGATGATTTTCGCTATTGCCTTCATGGGTAGTGCAATTGTTCCATCCGAGTGTCGGAGTCCTATTATCTTGGTTTTCTTCTTAGTGAGGCTTCCTTGGGCTTTGCAAATGCTTCCCCCAGCCTCTGCGGTTTCGACCATAATTGATGCTCTTTTCTCTTTAACGTCTTTTATCTCCTGTCTGCATTGCTTTGCAAGCTCTGAGGTGAGTTGGCGATTGCCTGTAGCTTATGTGATTCCACGCTGCCATATCGGCTCAAGTTTTTCTGAAGAAAAACGTCTGTTGGTGACTTTCGAACTCTCAGCTTTTACAGGGGTGGCATGAAGAGGCCGAATGAGCCAATCATATTTCTCATGGTTTTTATCAAGAGCGGCAGCTTCCCAACAGCTGATTAGTGAAGTGAATAAATCCCAGTTTAAGGTGGTTTTCGAAATTTTTTTTTCAAAATTTAGTATCTATTTCACCTTTCCGCGAAGATGAAGTCCTGCACGATGAAGGAGATCCCATGTAGGTTTTTGGGACAACAGCGACATCATTTAGGCAGGATCCTCGATTTGCTATTATGCGGTCTATTTCGTTGTGATGCTCACCATTTGGAGATTTCCACATCCTGCGTTTAGAACGAGGTTTCTAGAACTGTGAGTTACCATTTATGGTCATGGTCGTTGTGGTAAACTCAGAGGGTCGTTCACCATGCTCGTTCCATCCTAATCCGTGGGTGATGTTCCAATGTGACGTTCTTCAGATGTCCTTCTGGGTCCAATTTTAACGTTAAAATCTCCAATGACGATCTTGAGGAATGTATGGTGTTGTCTGTAGAACTTTTCCAAGTCCATACTAGAATGCTTCGACTTCGTCTTCATCATTGCTTGTTGTCTGTGGGTACGCGGCGAAGATTTTCAAAGGTGGTGTTGATCCACATCTCTTCAATCGTAGATGTTGGAGTTCATGGCCAAACTCATGTTGACGAGAGCACCAATGCCACCGACTCCTTTTCTTACGCATGTTCCAAGGAACAGTTCTTCCGCGATGTCGTAGACGGCGTTGAATGTGTGGCATCGTCTCGTCTGGGCCAGGCCGATGACGTCGTACCTTATCTTTCTTACTTATATAATCACGTCTTCTAAAGAGGTGTGAGATGCAAGTGTGTGTGCATTGTAGGTATAGATCGTCACCTTATTTTTTTGCAATTTAGGTAAGTTATATTGGCGCTGAGATTTTAGGAGTCTCTCCGTACCCATTCTACCCAACACTACCCAGTGGGGCTTTTTTCATGGTCAGGGAATGAGGCCCGCTTATTTTACTGTTTAGCTTTTTGATACCCGCATTTAGCTTTCTGAGCTTTGAACGTGGGGACTGGGTATACTCACGAGTAGTTTGACAGGCTCTCCCAGAGTGGGCATGGAGCTTATTTGTTGGAGGCGACGTTTAATCGCCTCCCATAAACTTCCCTGTCACTCGATTGCAGATTTTTTTGGCCGAATGGACTCGTAGAATACAATTCGCACAAGCAAGAAGACACCCACACCCGCATGCATGAATACGTCTTCGTGAGTACAGAAAATATATGCCAAGTCGACGCAGCAGAAACAGCGAGTCCATCCTCTGCATCCATATATGGCTCCCGGGAGCATAAGATTTTTGATCTCTAATCAGCCCCTATTCCTCACCAGGGTACGGCCACGTTGCTTCATGACTGAACGGCATGAGGTCCCTTATATGAGGGAGATTTGTGGGTTGTATTACACTTGGAATCGATCTCTGAGCCCATGGCCCACCAAGCTTTCTATCCCTACGGAGTCGGCAAATTGGTGCCAGACTTATTTGTGAGGATAGCAGCACTTGGTCGATATATCGGTAGGCCACCGTGAGTCATTGTAAAGGCCAGATATGCATTCAGTTACATCCAGCGATACTTAATGAAGTCGAATGCATGGCACATCCCTCAGGGATCGGTCAATGCCGAGAGCTTTAGAGCTTTTTATTTTATAATACTATAGATATAGGTAATATCGAATGGCTGTTTGTAGGTTCGTTGAAAGAGTTGCTGCCGAGTTTGACGATCGCGGTGAAGAATTCGATCCCACGGTATCACAATCTGTGGAAGAAGTTCGTGAGGCCATGACGACTCTGTTTTTTGTACTCATAGAAAGAATCGTCTTAGAGGAAAGGAAAAGAAATCCAGAACGAGATCTTGAGGTAGAGAAATAGTTTTATCAAGAAACAATATGTCTGGTTTAACGTATTATTTACTGCCTATTCTTTTTAACGGCAGGGTATACATTGTGAAATATAACTTCAATGATGCTGAAATATTTGCTAAACTCCGGACCGCAGGTGTATGCGGTGGGGAACGAACACGCGCTGTTGTCCTTACCGGGGAGCAGCGCACTTCACCACCAGACCCGGATGGTAAGGACGGATGTCCCCGGTAAGGACAACAGCGCGTGTTCGTTCCCCACCGCATAAACCTGCGGTCCGAAGTTTTGCAAATATCTAAGCATCATTGAAAATATATCTGGTATTTATTATGATTGATAGAATTGACACATATGTGGTCTTTAAGGGTCTTTTGCGAAAAGAAGAATTTTTGTCAGCAGTTTTTTGTTGTGCAATGGAATTGGCGCTTTTCGTTCAGGGCAGTGAGCGAGTGTTCCCATGGTGTTTAGAGGTTGAACAGTTTCATGGTCTCTGTATAGATGTCAATAGTTATGACTACTTTTGTACCACATGAAGTTGACCTTCAGCTTGCATGTATCGAAACTTAGGTTTGTGGTCTACCGGCGCTTAGCTTCCAGAAAATCATCGAAGTAATTGTGAGGAACGAACCTCGTCTCACTAGAGATATGGTTCGCCACCTGAACAAGGTAAGATTTGATTTCGTAGTTGAGATTCTTTAGTGGTATTTAGTCTTCAAATTTCTTTTAAAGGTGGAAGAACGAGTTTTAGAAGAACTGGCTTGGTCACGCGATAGCCCTCTTTGGACATTGTTAAACAGAAAACCAGATAGTGTTCCAAGTTGTGATGAGGCATGGGGTAATGCAAAAAATATCTCCTCCATTAATTCGCCATCGAAGAGAATGTGCGTTTACGACGATAAGTAGTACTTTATAATTGTCACTCTGACAGTAGTTTGTAAATTTAGCACTAGATGTTGAAATCTCAATGTTTTAGACGCTTTGATGTGGAACGCAGTAGTTTTTCCCAGACTCAACTACCTCCTTGTAATGCTCAGAAGTCTTTTTTCAGTAAAGTGTGTTTCGTTTCAATATTAATCCATTCATTAGTTTGGAAATGCAGAAGGAAATCTGCAGTGGTTTCTGTAGTTTTGCACCACGTATGGTAATGTAGTTCAGGTCTATTACCTTGCTTCTATACGTCTTTCGGATATCTGTGAAAGAATTCGGATAGATGACCGTGGTAAACGAATGATGTGGACAGTTCTGGAACACATATTAAAGCAGGAATGGTTACTGTTCATGGATCGTCATCTGGATCAAAATTTGCTGTGCATAGTGTAAGCGCCTCATCACTCGTTTTTCTTGCCCAGTACATTTTTGCCTTTCGACCAATTATCACGTATTGTTGGCAAAACTGGTCGTAAAGGAATTTAAAAGGAAGGCTGAACTAGATTTTCTTGGTTACTCATGATCATCTCTTTCTGGCGATTATTAAATACCTCTAAAAAGCACACTTCCATTACAGCTACGTTGTATGTAAAGCGAATAAGACCGATATTTCGTTTCTGAATATTATGGCGCACTATCGTCACCAGCCACAGGCTCACTCAAACGTCTATCGTATGGTTCGTGTAGACTCTAACGTGTGAGTTTTAAAGTTACGTAAAGCATATAAGGACCTCTTTTTTGGAGGTGGTTATAGGCGGTGGTGCAGGCAATGAAATGCACATGGTCACTGGTCCTATCCTGCACGCAGAGTTAGGGAAGCCTCCCATTTATGTGAGTTCGGAAGATTGGTACCAGCCTTGTAGGGGAGGATAATCACATTAGCTTAACATCGCTAGTACGCATTTTATTGCCTCGTTCGGGTATGATTCAGTCATCTATACAAGACTTGAAAGGTATACGATATATGGTGAACACCCGAAAGATAGCTCATCGAATTTATCCTTTCATCGTTTTTGAGAAAATATTTTGCCATGATGTTGAAGAAAGCCGTACGCAGTAGATAATTTTTAGATGCATAGGTAATGTCAGTAACAGCGCTGTCAGCTAATATGTTCTATGCTGTTTGGTAGCAGATTTATCCTTTTTTTTACAAGCAATTCAGCTGTTCAACAAATGATGCTTTGTCGAACGACGATGGAAGTTCATTAGAGTCATCATCTGGAGCAGATTCCATGCCTCTCAGAAGCCGTTCAACTGTTGGATTATCTCCAGGGATCCCGATTACTGGAGACGGTTACATGGCGGCGACAAATTCTACAACTCCTCAATCAGAAACAGTTTCAGGACAGTATGTGGATCTAATAGTCTACTACAATAAAGTGTTTCTTCCACGGTGCGTCACTTCATTGAGAATATTGGAAATTGTATTGCATGGCAGATTATAAAACGAACAAAGCAAGATAACCACAATGATGCTAAGATATTTGCAAAACTTAGAACTGCAGGTGTCTGTGCTGAGGATCGAACACACTGTTACCCTTTCCGGGGGCTAATACGTTTGCCACCGCGCCATTCGGGTCTTTCGTTTCGCCTTTCTCTCAGCCATGTTTTGTGGTTATAATTCATTTTCTGTCATGAAAAGGAATAGGCAGTAAATAAAAAGTGAATACACTGTGAAAGGAAGATATTTTTACCAAAATACTTGTAGGGTTGAAGGATTTATGAAGCGAATAACTGACAATTGTCCACTATCCAGTTTAACACCAATGCCTCCTCGAAGAATTCCACGTGGTACTCCTTTGAAAAGATGTCTTTCAGAGAAGGTATTATTGTAAATTTCGGTGTAGTTGCATGTGGGGATTAATCGCACCATAAAGAAGATTATGATTATAATTATTTATTTTCAAATATTTCTTTCCACACATTCAGGTAACAGTTATGCCGTACAACCCACTCCCATACATTCAGCGAGCTGATGTAGCACCCGTACGATACAAAGTATCCCAAAACCCTAGTCGAGTATGTGTTTGGTCATGTTTGAAAATGGTTCTTTAACTGTTATGTTTTAGGACTTCCGAGCTATAAATCAACTTTTCAATAAAAATCGGGCGCTGTACAGTTTCGTCGGAGTGTCCGAACTAACTACACCGACAGGGTATCGTGTCGTATTATGACATGTTTCCGTTAGCCTCATTAGCATTAGAGACCTCTTTTAGAATCGTTCTTTTTTCCTTTTTGATAAGAACGATTTCTTTCTTATGGTTTGTTAATCTGCAGGTCAGCGACTGACTTCTAATAATGCTATGTTATTGTTATTGTATTATAAAAGACTTGATTTCCTATATTCCTCCTTTTTATGGAACTCAGTTTGTGTTTGGCTGCATTATAGCTTTTGTGATTACTCCACTTTCAATGTACATATGTCATACAATCTTCTATCTCAATGCTTTTGAACTCATAAGTACCAAAAACTTACATGCGTTGTATTGTGTCTATTACATAGGGTCCTTTGAACTGCAAGTTGAAAGTATAAGGTGTTATCAATGAAAATCGTAATTTGTTTTGTTCATAAAGCTGTTTATGACAAAAATTGTGGGTTAGGAAGTCATTGAGTGCAATAAGTTGTTGAGTATTGCCAACGGAGAAAAGTGCTTGATCACTTCTAAGTAAAATTTAAAATGTAACAGTTTCGCTTGTCGAGGGACTGGGTGATTGTAGGAAAAGAGGACGTTATTGGAAAATAATAATATGAATAACTAGAGGGGAAATAGTGCATCGTTTCCTCGGAAATCATCATACCTGACCGACTACTTAACAGTAAGGCGATGACGTGACTACTATGGGAGTCATGCGATGCGAAAACAATGCTCGCTTCAAACATTAAATCAACATGGCTCATAGTAAATTTTAGTAACACTAGTAAGTACTCTAGAAAGTGCAGGAGAGAAAAAGGGAGAAAAGGAAGGAGGAAAAACAAGTAGCGCAACTGTGGTGATCTCGTTCATAATGCGGACGTCCCACCCTACCTAAGCGCAAGTTGGCTCCTTCCCAGGTCCACCAAGTCCCTAATCCATCCGGAGAGAAAAATGGTACCAGACTTGTTAACTAAAATATCACTCCCTCTTCTTCACTTGAGAACGACCCAGCACGGCTATCCTAGGATTCCATGGTGAATTGTCTTCACCATTAATCAATGGCAATTTGTGGCGATTTTGGGGAAATCTTCAAACAGCGGCCGAACCGCTCGCAAAGAAAATTCGAAAACCTTCGTGAAAGGTGGATTAGAAGAAACGAATAGAATGCGAGAATGCTAGGATTCGCAGGGCGTGATGCAAGTGACGTCGAATCAAGTAATAAATGATTTTATTTTTCATGTTATGCAAAGAATAAAAACTTTTTCACACCACTCAGCATCACGTTTTGCGAATCGTAGTACTTCCTGCATTTCATTCGTTTCCTCGCATTCCTCTGAAGTCTTCGTGTTTGCATGTGTCTTCGGCCATTGTCTGAGGATTTTGGTCTTTTTCGTGAATGTCTTTAAATGCTGATCGAGTCGATTTTCTGTGGAATCCTGAGATAGCCGTACAAGGAGTTACCAGCATTTGTGGTTTGAAGAAAACAGGTTGACCCCAGACGAGTTTGTTATGAATTTCCATCTGCGAAGGTATGTAAGGATTAGTTCGCCCGAAGTGGGGTTCGAACCAGCGCCTGGCTTGTAATGCGCGGCATAGCCGTTACTACGCAACTCGTGCCACGTACTCGACTTCAGTAAGCATCTTGTGATGCGATTGAATGCATATGTGGCTTCGACAATGATTTGCGGAAGTCCACCGTTATATAAAGTTATTGCTGCTATTTTCTCAAAGTAGTCTGGTACCATGTTGCCGACCACGAAGGTATAGGCTTGTTGAGCCAGTGGGTATTGAACTAGAGAACACGTGTGCATTGCAAAGCACCTCTAACTACTATGTTACCCACGCCGCTGGACAGCGCATAAAAATTTTATTCGCGGTTACTGTGATGAAGTAAAGTGTCTTAAATCCATGGAGCTTCGGACTCTTACGATATTCTAGTAATCGAGGAATTATCACCAATAATTGGAAAACTAGATCCGTCTCTAAAGTGCTGGTAAACTCTGTATGCCTTAATTCGTCAAATTACGCTAAGTGATTTCTCACCGTTTGCACATTCTCTATCGAATGTCAAAAATAAACAAATGTTCTATCAAGATCTCAACCACTTTATTTACCGCCTATTCTTTTTAACGGCAGGGTATGTTGCGAAATATAACTTCAATGATGATGAGATATTTGCAAAACTCCGGACCGCAGGTGTCTGCGATGGGGAACGAACGCGCTACTTTCCTTTCCGGGGAGCAACGCGTTCACCACCACACCATGCGAGTCCTCCGTTGCACCTGTCTCTCAGGTAGCTCTATCAATCTTTTGCCATCAGCATAAGGACAATAGCACGTTCGTTCCCCACCGCAAACACCTGCGGTCCGGAGTTTTGCAAATATCTCAGCATTATAGAAATTATAGTTCTATCAAGAAATGATAATTCTACTAAGAACATAACCTATGTTATCCATCGCTAGTAGTATCGCTTCACTGACATGTTTGACGGTGGTCAAGCACGATTTTCCGTGGAATCTCAAGGTTTAAACAAAAAGAATAAAGCTCTTGGCTTTGATCAATCCCTGAGGAATACGCCATGCATTCGACTTCATTAAGTATCGTTGAAGGTGACTGAGTGTATATCTTGCCTTTACAATGATTCGCAGTGGCCTACCGATGTATCGAGGCAGTGCTGTTATTCTGCCAGACAAGTCTGGTACCGATTTGCCGACCCCGTAGGGATGGAAGGCTCGGTGGGCCATGGACACGGGGACGAATTCCACGTGTGTGTCGCAGTCCCGTCCAACCACTGCGCCAACACGCGCCAGGAATCTCAAGATGGTATTGTTAAATTGTTTCGAAGTCGCTGCTATAAACATTCGCCAGATACGTGAAATGACTGCTGCCATTCGATTCCAACTCTTCAGGATAACAAGAGTATGGTAAATCGTGCGATTCAACGTTGACGTCAAGACGTCCAACATCGCTTGGGCGACGTAGACACGTGTATTAACAACAGCTATCAGCGAATAACAACTGTCTGTTGCGGAATTTCGGGATGTCAAGCTCTGGGAAGAACACCAACATAAACAATAAGAACACAAGCGTGCACTGCACGTGTAGATAATGTATTCTTTTTATAACCTAAAACAGTGTGTTATGCTCAGGCTTAGTCTTAGACTTCTGGAAGGCTCGTCCGTGTTACCGTAACACGTCCGCGAGTACTGTAGGCTTAGTCTCAGGCCACATGTTTTGGCGCTCCAGCGATTTCTCGAT